GCCCCCCCAAAAAACCGGCGCGGAGCGAAGCGGAGCGCCGGTTTTTTTTGTTTTGGTCAGAGAACTATCTGCACGTCATGAGAAATAAAATAGAAACAGGTACGAGCATGCTGTGATCTCAACTCTGAGTGATAATGATGCACGGAAGGACTACTACTCACAGCCCAGTCAGCTTTTTATCACCTCTACCAATCAACCAAACTATTCAAATAGAAGATGACGATTATTTTGATTCAGTAATTGACTTGCTGCTGGTTTGAATCGTACATGATTTATATGATTCTTAGTGCTTTTTATCTCAAATCCTCCCTCACAAAAAACCAAAGAATTGTTGGAAAAAGCACCTTCATGGACAAGTGAAAACCAAGTCCATGAATGTGAAACTAAAAACTGAGGTAAAAATTAAGAAATTACAATGCAAAAGACTTAGTTAGTTCAGTGATTCAATCTGATCCTGCCTCTACTTCTCTTCCTGAACGAAATGAAAAAAATGAGTAAAAAAAAAAATATTGTTCCGGAAATTTCAATACCCTAAGAATTTACTTTAGCTCTGACCGATTTGCCGTACAACAGAATAAAATCTGGTGAACTTGGCCCCGTTTCAGCAATATTTGGTTTTTGGTTCATTTTCAGATCTTCATCTGGGATTGTTACACCAATGAGCTAATAATGTTTCCACATCAGTTTCATAATTCACTATTATTGACTTTTCTCCAATTTATTTATCGTATTGTTTTTAAGTATTTCTCATGAGATTGCATGAGATGCATACAGTAACCAATAATCTCTTTAAATAGTTTTCTAGAAATGAAAATGATGAAAAGGAGAGAACGCATTAGGTATGGTAAGTTTTACTTCACAGTCTTCTAATTTCGGTCCCATCTTAAAAAGTTATTGAAGTTACTGGGAGTCCTGCTACTTATTATTCACTATTTTTTATTAAATTGTGATAAAATTTGTAGTAGATACTACAGAGATTCCAATTAGCTTCAATCAATATTTTATCAAAGTGTAGAAACTTATCATAGGTACCTTCTTTTCTTTTCTGTTGTTATAATATTGCATTTGCACTTTGTTTTCATTGGTACATCAGTTGTCACCACTATTTTTACATGCTTTTTATACTTTTCGACACATTCACTGCCAAGCCTGTCTTAGTAACAGTAGATAAGAAAAAGAGATGGACTTACGCTCACAGACATCAGGATCAGAAAAATCTCTATCAGGATGATGATAAAAGTATGGTCGACACTGCTCACAGTTGCGACCCATCGTATTATGCTGACAATTGTCACACACACCTCCACTGATATGACCAGTCAGTTCAAATACGGCAGCATCATAATGACAACTGGTGGCATGATTGTTACAGTTACACTCTGAAAAATTTAAAACCTCATAATCAACTTTTTCTATGCCATGCTTTGAGTTACAATTCAAAAATTGCAACTATAAACACGAGCCTTTAGGCCTAAAACAACAGATCAAATTAAAATTTTAAAAAAAAAAACATGTCATTTTTAAAAATTTTGGATAAATGTGTAAAAGCTTAAAATTAAATCAAGGTAAATGAGAACTAGTGCTGTGCGTAACAAGTAACCATCAAAATTGTGGTTACGGCCAACAGATGGCCATGTAGAAGAACAGTGTTTGGCACTTGAGTCTTTTGGAGGAAGAACAAATTTTCAGATGCATCTCTTAGACCTTAAAAATCTGTCACTTTGCAACAAAATTCATCTATGTGCGATGCCAAACTGTCTATACCTCCATTTTTTATTCTTTGGCGCTTCAATCTTCTTGAAAATGACAGATTCAATGGAATACTAGACAAGGTGCAAATTTAAGCAATATGATAAATATTTTTTGTCGAAGTCTTACATAGAACACGATTGAAGCAACAAGAATTATTGAAAGTCAAACTTCCCGCTCAAAAATTAACAGGATCTCCTTCAGTCAAATCGAGCACTAAATGTTACTGTAACAGCCTCTGTGGTATGACATAACATCCTTAATCTTGGTGCTTTGGTATAGCTGCTGGATGTTTACACTTTGAACAACACAGTATGGGGAAAGACTACTGCTTGATTGAGAAACCTGTCAAAATCGTTGTGGCACGCCATTTGATTCACATAGACTCCAGTTTTTCTGGGGAGTAGGAATTTTAGATTATTTGTGACCAGCGCTGAGAAAAAACATTGATATCATGGATAGGAAACAAAAAAGTCATTCTCGTTTGACAGAATATGTTCTGCTGGAAATTTTGAAGAAACATACATCAGAATGCTCAAATTCGTACTTTGTCTTGCGGTACATGATAATATTGCTTGATTCGTAAAAAAGCTTTAAAAAATACACTCATGCCTCAATAATTATTCTAAGTACAAAAAACTGCATCCCCACTTACCAACATCCAAATTAAGAAAAGCTGCTACTCGAAGCATTGTTTCTTAAAATCATTCAATTTGACCCCTTCGCTCCATCACTTTGGTTAAAAGTTCACCACTTTCGAGTCTCTACAACAACCCTCTGAATCATCCCTGAGAAATTTTAGGATTCCGTTTATAGGTATCTTCTACCAAAAAAAAAGTGAGCCTTTTCTATATTTTTCATAGAACTTGTCATCCTGATTTGAGATCATTGCAATACAGTAAACCTCATATCATCCGAACCCTGGTTTATCCAAACCCCATTTTATCCGAACTCCTGATTGTCCGAACCAATTTTTGGGAGGACAACTTTTTTTTTACGCGTTTTTTTCACTTCCTTTGATCATTTTCACAACACTTTTCAACTATCCACTTGTTTGTTTGTTTTTCGAACACAGACGTACTCGAATTTCCCTCGTACACCTACCGGTCGCTCTATCTCTCAGCGGACTCCTTTCGCCACTATCGCCCATCTCCACCTGACCTTAATTACCTTATTAATACCTTAATTATATTACCTTTAAATTAATGAATATCAATGGCCTCCGGATTATCCGAAATTTTTGCTATCCGAAATTTTCGTTATCCAAACCTGCCAACCGCCACAGTAGTTCGGATAATCCGAGGTATAGTGTACAGTCAAAGTAAAACTTACGTTTACAAGCATTAGTCATCTTCCCAATTGCAGGTCTCCAAGGAAGATCGTTGTAAAAGTCTTCGCACTGCTCACAATTTAAACCTTTTGTGTTATGCATGCACTGACACTGACCATGGACCATGTTTGGTTTGCTTTCCACACCATTCTGCGGTTTACAGTGCGATGCATGACCATAACAAGAGCAGGAACCACGGACAACCATTTCACTGATGGCATAGTAGTATTTTTCCTGGAAAAAAAAAGCACATAAAATTTCCTGGATACATAGGAATGTTAGATTTATTTGGAGTGGAAAAATCCAAACAACAAATCGAGCTCAATTGAAAGTCCAAAGAGTGTGATGAAGAGTAGTAGAAGTTAGACAGTTTCAAAAGTTGGATCTTGGAAAGTTAAGTGAACTTAACTACTTTGAAAAAAAGCCCTGACTTCAGTAATTTACAAGTTAACAAACTGACCAGAAATGTATGGTTTCATGTTATTTGAGGAAATGTGAGGAAAGAAGTAAAAAATTTGAATTAATGAGAGTCATGTGTAAAGTACGCTTCCCCATTTTACAAATTTCCGATGAAAAATAGAAAAAATTAAAAAGATGAAAAGACACATGTTAGACATACTTTCGTTGAAGTTTTAAAAAGCCCGAGCTTTCGAAAATTTGTCAAACAAGGTGTCTACTGAAGCTGGCTGGCAAAAAATCGGTAATTTAACCATAATTTTTTAGTACAAATTCAGTGCTTTATCAGCTGAAAAATCCAGTATTTTCATGTGACAAAATTCGCACATTCTGCGATGTTGGTGAACTAAAATTGTACATATCCGAGGACTTCTTGGATTTTTAAATTAATTGGAGAACAGCTAATGTGAGAGCTATGCTTCCACATTACTATTGATAAAAATGTGAAACTTTTGGGGAAAGTTTCCAACTTTCAAATTTGAACATCCCAAAATTTCTAAGGCCTTGTTGAACTTCTGAATAATTTTACTCAGCCCTAGATTCTATACATTCTTTTAATTTTGGAGAAAATGATTTGTGGGACCCATGAACCTCAATAAACTGAAGAAGCTAATTTCCAAGATTGCTTTATGAAATCCAAAAGCTGAGGATGAAATAATGCAAAACCAAAACTTACCTTGATTTCTTGTCTGTTGTCCAATAAATCATCTCCCAGCGTGTGTAATTTTGTGAAGTTAAATCTCAAATTGGTCATTTTTAGTAAATTTTGAACTTCTTGCGAGTAAGGATCATTGTACAGATGATGCAGATTTGGAGGTAGAACCCTTAAAATAACCTAAAAATGACGAAAGTAGGGTGAGAACTAAATCCTAAGAGAGGCAAAAGCAGTAAAAATACATTGAACAAATCCTCCTGAAACATAAAACCTCCTTCTGACCCTTTTTTCCCCTGAATTTCAGGTTTTTGAGCATGATTTTCACTTGGACTGAAAAACCTTGAAATATTTAAATGTATTCGAAGGTGCTAAGCATAGTTAAATATTCATTAAAATATTATACTCCATGTTTATGTACCACTGAATGCTCAAAGCAGTGGACAGTAGTGAAGAAATAATGTTTAAAAAGCTGATTCAATGATCTGAAAGATTATTTGAAAAAACAATTCATGGTGTTTCAAGATCTTGACCACGCTCATTCCCTGATCATTCCGTGAGTTTCCCTGATTTTCAGAAGCCCATTCCCTGATCAGACACCAAAGTTTTCTCCCACTTCCTGAGGTTTTCTCAGGAAAAACTTTAGAATTATCTGGCGATCTAAATATGAATACCGATTTTTTTCATGTTTCAACTGGTTATTTAGCGCACATTCAATTTTTAAGTCCGAGAGCGTTTTTGATGTTTATGTTTTCTGGTCAATGAAAGCTTCTCTATTATTCTGATGATTTGAAGATTCAAAAGTACCATTCAAGAGGTCAATAATGGCAAATTAGGTGCAACATAAAATCAGGAAGGACTGCCGAATCTGAAAACGAAATAGTCTCTAAGGGTGGAAGAGAAAATTCCCAGTTTTTCAAACAGATTCCTTGATTTTCCCTGAAATTTGTCATTCCCTGATGAGTCCCAGTTTTTCTGGTCCATTATACCATGAGTAAAATGGGAGAACTGACACTCTTTCCAAGATATTGTTGTTAAAAGAGCTTCTTGAGCAAAGACTTTAAGAGGAGAAAAACCTGATCACTCACCTCTCCGTCCGATGAAGGTGGGACAGAAGAATATCGCGAATCACAAACAACATCTTTCAAGGTACGAGGCGTATCTCTTTTGATGCCAGGAAAGGCAGTTTCACAATCTTCTGCAAAGTACCGATAAACCTGAAAAAATGTAACTTTCATTAGGATCATATTGTGGTATTACATCAACATTGTGAAGAGATTATGGACAGCACACCTAATGAAGAGTAACCTTAAGATTTGTTGACAGTCAAGCCAATTTTAGCACTGGGAGTACTGTGTAGTTCTTCTATACACTTACAAGAAAAATGGGAGCATCCAAAGCTCAATTCACATGGTTCAACTGTTCATACACCTTTTTTCCCCGCTTTTGTCAAATGATAAGTTGGACCGCATGATACTGACATGAAAACTCGAGTTGACAGGAAACTTAAAAATGACGTCACCTTCAACTTTTTGTTCAACTATCCATCCAATTGGCAGTGCCAAACTGATGATGCCATTTGGCGATATTACACAGCAATGACGACCGAGTCAAATTTTGTTGCGATCAACTTTCCTTCCCCTTTTGTTGGATGATAAGTTGAACCGTGTGAATTGGACTTTAAAAAGAGAAAAGAAAGACTGATCTAGTAAAAAGGTTTGATAAATCGAACCCTTAACTTTGAGAAATAATGTACAAGTGTTGTTTTTAGCCCTTTTACAATGTTACCAAATCTGCTCAAGCACGGAGTAAAATTGAAATATACTTTATTCTGTATTCTCTTCTCCAAAAAATTTTGTACATAATTTTCCAACAAGTTGTGAAATATATTTGCCTCTGAAACTCTGGAAGACGTACTTAGAGTTTGATGAAAAAAAGTTAAAATACGATCATATTGCTGCACCCTGTGTTTCAAATTCAGCTGCGCCATGAGTCCCCAACCCCCTTTCCTGGATTGAACGTGTGATTTTCTTGTTCAAAATAGGCCTGTAGATATCGCCCTCGGAGCTGATCAGATTTTTTACATTTGGGTGCATTTTAAAGCCAATGCATTTCCATAAATCTACCTGTTTTATCCTGTTTATACCAATGGATTTTTTTCCGAAATTTTGATCCCTCTGAGGATTACTTAAAAATGCTTCAAATTGGCTCAAATTTTAGATAACTTATCAATACTGGATAAAACCAATTCTCACCTAAAGGGAATCGATTTTTGAACACGGCCCAAATAAGCCACTTTCTACTACTCAGATCCACGAAAGGGAGCCGAGGCTCTTCTTCAACACCTTACTATTCTGCTATTTTTAACTCTCACTTTGCATCTTGTGAAAATACTGTTGATACATTCAGGTTAAAACTTAGCCAGAAAGATTACAGAACTTTCAGGAAAAACATTATAAATTTGCTTTCTGAGCATTTATATACTTAGTAGGCTGTCAAAACTAGCTGTGATGGAAACTATCCATCAATAACGTGTAAATTATATTGAAAGGATAAAAGGACTGAATTCTTACCTGCCAGGTACGTCCAAAATCAAATGACCGTTCAATTAACATGGCAGCAGGTCTAAAGGTTTTAAATTTCATAATCAAGTGAGTAAAATGAAACTCTGCTTCGAGGTCAAAGCGAATTGTTACATTTTCGACGCCATTTTCTGACTGCCACCATTTTCGTTGTTTCGTTCTGAAAAAAGTTCTATTATTATGAAGAGTTTCGTGATTGCAGCTTCTTACAAGCTGACTTTCTCATATATGGTTGACTTAAAATTTTACATTGATTATCCTCAAGAAGTGTACTTTTTCTGCTCATCCTTTGGACTTGGAAATTTGTGGCTCATCCATAAATTACCAGAAATGTTTAAAATGGACAGAAGTATCAATTGATTTTCAGAAATGTCCAGAATGGCCAGAAATATCTTTAAATAGCGAGATTTAACCTAATTAGCAGAAGTTCCCTAGAATGACCAGAAATGTTCAAAATGGCTGGGAATCTCAGAAATCATTAGAATGGCCAAAATGACCAGAAATGACATGATGACCAGATTTGACCATAAATGTCCAGAAATGATAACACCGGAGGGTTCCGTCATCCTCCGATGATATCACTTAAGCAACATAATGGGGTCTCCATCCCCCTCGGTGCCTCTGCTGACGGGAACTTTCTTTAGAGCTATGCGCTGCATCTCACTCTCTGAGGATGGTCTCTTTTAATGGCCTATTGCTTTCTTTCAGGTAGGAAGTAAATGTACAAGAAGAAAAACATTTTTCGAGACACAAAAAACCTATTAACTTGTCAATGAAAGGAACTACTTCAGAGGAATTCTTGAATAAATTTACTCACCCTGGAGAGTATTTGTAAACTATATTTTCAATTCTATGACTGTATGTTGGATTGTTCGCCATCTGTGGGGTTGAGTCACACCAAAAACATTTTTTTTCATCGTCTAGATGTGAGACAATGCAATATCGTTCCTGGAAACAAAGGAAAATGTATTACTTTGATTTTTACAATGAAATAGTATAAAGTAGATTTAGGTGAATCTTCATCATTAGTTCCCATCATATCCACCATGTTGGGCTGCCACAATCAGACTCCAAAATCAGCGATTATTCTGATAATTTTACTGATAAGTATATTGAATTCTAACACCCATAAATTAAACAGCAACTTATCCCTATAGTGTATAAAACCAAAAATGCCTGTATATAATAATATATTTGTGTATTATACCATTGTGTATCGAGAAACAGAAATTCATATAAGTTTTGGCTTATGGGATTCAATGAGTGGTTGCACAGCATGCTTTGCCATAAATTAATTGATCTACAATTTAAACCTACAGAAACGGATCTCGTTAGTCAGGCTGTTCACAATGAACAATAGAAAATCGATTCTTTACCATACTTTCAAAAGGGAAAATATTGATGGTAAATGAGTCATGTCAATGAGTTCCAGAAGGATGGCTAAAATGCAAGAAAAATAGTGGCAGAGGTCAGACCCTGTAACCCCTAGGCATTATGTCTACGTGTCATTCTCGTCGGTTGCTATTTGTTTTAACATTTTTACATCATGATCAAATCAAAACACAGATTACAGGACGCTCCCTAATTTTCTTTACCTCTCCAGTCTTCATGCAATGCAATGTTCCTCTCCATATTTTGACATGATGTAAAAGTATCGGATGATTAATAGATGATAAGCGAATATTCTTTTTTAACATCATAAGATTTGAAATTAGACTTTGATCAATGAAAGTGAAACATATCTCAGATCGAGGAAACTCGCCTTCTTAGAAAGGACCAGACCTATATTTTCCAAAACAGCTGCCAGGAGAAACTCGGGGTAAAATGTGCAACTTGACCTGTATCTCAGAGTTTCTCGTTATGAACTCATCTTAGTATGTTCCTGCCAAAAATCATGCCATTTAGGTAGAAAGCAACCGCCATAAATTCTTAAAAAATAATCAGCTTTTGGCAGCGATCTTACTTAGCAGCCAAATAAAGAGGGCACATGACATATACAGCTTATTTACAATTGATTCCCCTCAGGCATCAGATGATATTCTCACTGAGATTTGTGCTAGTAGCCCGAAATGCATTATCATGGTGCTAAGCGAGGATTAGTTGAATAAACAATGAGACCAGATAAGTTATTATCAAAAATTCATTGACTTATTCGCACATTATCAAATGGTTACATCATCAATATTCCTCTCGCACTCCTGTTCTCTGAAATTCATGATGAATGTAAATGACGGAGTGAACACAGATTTACCAGTTCATTGGACGATCCAACCTATTTGACAAGAGAGTTGAATCAACATGTCTCAAATTTCAAAAGTGGACGTATTTCTGTCAAACGGAACTATGTGCATTATAATGTGAGCCCTGTTATGCATATATTTATATGGGGCTCGGGGTTCGTGCCTTAAAGCAGATAGTTCCATTTGATAGAAATACGTCCATTTCAAAAATGAGGGAGAGCCTAGAGTGAGGATGGGGCAATAAACTTGTTCAGGAATTTTTGATAATTACTTTTCAACAAGTGGGGACTGTACTTAGTTCACAGGAATTGGACCGAGTTCATCAGAAAGGAAGCAGACCACATTGAGTTGAAACTAAGAGAAAGATGTTTGAGGTTTTGTTCCTGCATAAGGCTCAATATAAAAAATAAACTTTAACCCCTCTTTTCCCAAAAAAATGTTTGTTTTTAGACTTTCAGTTTTTGGCGGGAGAAAATATATGTCTAGTGAAACTCAAAAACATTCGTAACTCAATTTTTTCGAAAATGTGGGTTGGTTCTCTCCTGATAAACTCAGCCCGATTTCCCTGAATATTTCGATAGATGGCAACCCATGAAAAATGAGTTCTAAAATACCATGAACCACTACTATAGCCTCTATTAAAACAGCCTATAAGCAGCCTACAGCGTATTATGAGGCTCTGCTTAAACATGCATCACTGAGGGAAACAACATGGCGTCCAAAAATGTACATCTCAGCACGGCTACACTTTTAACCAAACACCTTCTCTGCTGTAATTTATATTCCATGCAGTCATGAATTGATAGTGGCTGGAAGGACCATCAAACTCAGCGGAAGTTTCAAGCAATTAGAAATGTACCTGTGTCCGGATGATATTTTTGGACGTCATATTGGCTTCTTTAGTGATTTGTCTTCAAATGGGGGCTTAAAATGCATAGCTTTAAACTTGTTTGTCATTGATTGTTATCGTTCGAAATAATCTGAGAGAATTCCTGTGAACTTATTGCACTCATTACTTTTCAGAGAAGCAATATTTAGAAATTACTGAATTATTAACTCATCAGATGAGGACCACTTTACTTTCTTCTGACTGATGAGGTCATTTTATGCCCCAAAGTAGATACCTCATCGTCTTGAGAGGCTGTTTCAGTTCTATTTACTTTTTACCCAAAATTTTAAGGAGAAACACAACCCTGAAAGTTAAAAACTTCGGCAGTGATATTAAACAAGTTATTTAATTTTTTATATGATACTGGGACTAGTTTTTCTGGTTTCACCATTGATGCGTACAACCAATATGGTACAGGAATTTGATTTAAGATCTTACTCTCTGATGGAGACCACAGGTTGAGGATGCCCATAACCGATTCTCTCGCCCTATGAGTAGATTTCCTGTTGCAGGGTAACAGGAACTTTTCTCACATGATGAAATGTTTCTTTGGGAACTGCATACTGAAACTAAAAGGAGAAGAACAGATTGAGAAAATTTACAAAAATAGATAGATCCATTGAAAAATCTAGAAAAAGAACTACAGGAGCATAGAGCACAGACATGAACAGTTGCATATTGGCATGACTTTTTTTTTTTTTTTTTTTTTTTTTTTTTTTAAAAAAATCGGACTCATACTTTAACTCAGAATAAAAACTATCCATCCAGCCAGAGCTAAACTTTAGTCTGTAATCACTGTAAAGGACAAAATTCTCCTGTGCTCTAAGGATTTGTGTCCTCATTCTCTGTCGGTTTCATAGTTACGGTTATGATTTATGGCCTGGGTTACATAGTTTTTCCCACCAAATTACATTCCTTTCCTCAGCTGCTTGAAGTTTTGAGGAAAACGAAAATGCTCTTTAAAAGGAAAGAAAGGTTGAAACACCTTCCAGCTACACATAATCCAGATTTACAGTGAAAGCATTCATAAAAACCAATGATTGTTGTGGCATTTTATCACAATTTATTTTCTGGAAAAATTAATTTTTTAATTTTAAATTTAATTTAAAAATTTGTTTTAAATTAAAGTTGATCTCTGATCGGCTCTGGGTCTGCACCACTCAACAGCTTATTACATGCATTATGATGGCATCATTGGTAAGTGGTGACATAAATAAGACTTGAATTTTGTCTCAACATGCCAAGAGTAAGCTCTAAGCCTAGTGCAGAGATGAGAATTGGCTTCAATTGAAAAAATTGGGAAGGGTTACACTAAGATGATAGAGATGAAACTCTTACAGCCAGCAAATGATTGAACCGAGAATAATTAGTAGAGAGATCAAAAGTTGACAGGAAGTGTAGATAAGAGTAGTAAAGATAAGTTGAGGGAAGGATTCAGCGCTACACTGATAACCATCCTCTGCATAGTTCTGATTAATGACCCATGAGCAATGCTGCCAGTTTGAATACTTAGGCTCAATTTCAACAGTTACTTTAGAAATCTGGGTGCAGGGCAATTGATGTAAGAATGAAACAAAGCCATAGTTAGAAATTTGAAGAAGACAAGAAAGCAGGCAGGTGGATTGGAATCATGTCTGGCTACTTTAAGACAAACTGGCAACATGCAGCCTCATTATCAACTTGTTGATTTTATTCCTAATTCAACATGATAGAATTATTGAATTGAGTTCATTGGAAATGAATTAAGAGTGTAAGATACAATTTGGCAAGGATTGCATTTCATTGTGGCCCTTCCCCTCCCCTCATAAAAAAAAAAAAAAAAAAAACTTGAAGACACAGAATTGTGAGATGTTGGAGATAAATTTAACTGTAAATAAGTTAAATTCGGTAGAAAGGCAGCGACTTCAAAATGCAAATGTAAAAACACCATTTTCAGGTTCAAAAAAATTTGTAGAGGCAATTTTCACGAATTTCATGAGGACAACATCATTCTGTTTTTTTTTTTAATTTTTTTTCCCCCTATGAAGATGATGTTACAGACAGATTTTAATTCCCGTGATGTTTTTTACCTCCATTGATGAATGAAAATTGATGAGAAAATATGGTACTTCCAAAAGTCAGTAAAGATTTTGTTTAAAAATTAATAACTTTTGAAGTGCAAAGAAATCATGCTTAAATACTTGAGCCAATGTATTACTTACTTAATGAATAAATTAAGACTAATGCTGTGCAAAAAACATTCTGATTGCTCGGACTTCCATTCTGCCAGAGACCCATCATTACTAAGCCCTAGGCGGCTCGTCAAGAAGTTAGGCAAGGTATGAAAATCTGAAAAAGTGAGAGATTCAGGTATAATTTTAGTTGCATGAGTAACTTGTAAGAGGTCATCAATAATTGGTGCTGAAGGAGGTTGGATTTCAGTCTTGTAAATTATGTTTTCTTGCTTTTTTTCACTGATTTCATGGAGTCCTGAATGAAGATGATATGCGACCAAGTTGAGCAGAATGTGTCTAAACGTGGAAACTCACATTGTTTAGTACTGAAAAGAACAATGCACAACAACTTCTAACACTTTCAAGAATATTGAGTTAGAGTCCAAATAATTTTACGCTCTATTAGACTGCGAGAGAGGACAGTGGCGGAACCAAAGTGAGTCGGAGGGGAGAAAGCCATTTGCTGATGATACGTGGGGGGTCTAGGGGGACACCCCGAAGAAGAGTCCAGAGGAAAATTTGAAAAAATAGGCCCTCCCAGATTGAAATTTAATCAGTTTTATCATACAAATTGTGAATTATGAGAAAGTTGAAAATTGACGAATAACACCTCTTTTGGCATAATTTTATATTGGTATATGGACTAGGTATTTATTTCTGCAGTGTCCAGTAAGCTTTGGTTTTATAGTTCTGTCTTGAAACCATTTCAGAAAATTTTTGGGAGCTTTTTTTCTCTCTCCCTTTCTTCCTTTTCAGCCCGAGGGGGGTGCCATAGTCCCCCCCTGGATCCACCACTGACAGATCATGTTACGTCAGATTAGCATTGGAAGTAAATTCAAGAGTCGATGGGGCGGATCTTCTGTCGCTGTCTAGAACTACGTTCATTTGACATCCTCAAACTTTACCTATTGCCAAAGGCTGATTAATGCCCACCTGCGACCTAACTTACTCAGCACCTTTCTTGTTCATTTTTGACGGATACTTGCGCTAGAAACCACCTCTGCTGGACTTGGTTGACTATTTGCAGCTACGTATTATGAAAAACGTTCATGATTGTCCTGCAGGCATAGGGAGCTCTTACACGAGTGAAACGGCAAGAATTAGTCTCTGACATTTGAACGTCCTCAGCTTGTTGCCCATAGAGGAAGATATGAAATATGCTTAAACAATGTACATGATGCATTACTTACCGCGCAAAGAGTGTTTATCCTTTAACAAACGTAGTTCATTTTGGGCGTACGTTGGTCCTACATGCCTGAATGAAGCTTTAATCACAAACTAGAAACAACACTCTTCGATGAATCGAAAGCTAGAAGACTTAATGACAAACCAAGTAGGTAATTATTACCAAGAGTTATCATCATGACTGCAATACATGGATGGAACTGATGAACATGCTTATGAAAGCATTAATTGTGGGAAATGAAGATATACTGTAATAGAAGTATACCACTGGAAAAAATAGCGAGATAAATTTCACACAATTGGCTTGAACTCAAGATTTAGCATTCAGCACAGTTGGTGATTTTAGATTTTAATTATTAATTGGAAACATAGCGAAATAAAGCGGCCGTCTCGACACAAAACGCTCAGTCAACATTCGTCAACTACTAACATTTTTTCGGTGAATCTGACACTGAGTAATTTAAGTACAAGATCCGCCGCTGCGTAGCGCTGCTACACAATCTGTCCCTTTGAGAAGCAATAATTACTGTAATGTACAATTTTATGCAAAAAAATGATCCTTAAAGTGTAGCAAGATTAATATTGTGTGGTATGACACTAAATTTGCGAGGATTGTTGAAAATTGTTATCGGAAACTACCATAACGAATCTCATCCATTGACTCCATGTGTAAAAGAGAGACAGCGCTATAATAACTCTCTCTTACACATTGCGTCAATCGGCGACCTCCGTTAAGGTAGTTTCCGATAGAAATTGTCAATAAATGTGCGCAAACTTTAAGACATTCCAGTCAGTTTTAATGCTGCTACACTTTCAGAATCAGTTTTTTGCATTTAATATGCACATTACAATATTGCTTTTCAAAGGCACAGGTCGTGTGGCAGCGCAGTCTAGTGGCAGATCTTGTCCTCAGATCACAAAGAATCCCGTTTTTAAAGTTTAATTTGGTAGTTAGTATACCAGCATTAAGTTTAACGGTCTGACCGTTACAGTCGTCACACCCTAGCATTTTATGGTGATTTTGAGCCGTTTGAATGTGTAACGCCGCACGTGCGAAGCTGAACTCATTGCATCCATTAGTCAAGGTTCCCTAGAGAATCTTGGAATGCTTCTGTAATCCTGCTCTGTAGGAGGTTTGATCACCCATTCCCTCGTGTTCTATATCATTTAAAGAATCATGAGACGAAGTTTCAGCAATTTGGGCTTCAAGAAGGAAGTTCAATTCAATTCGTTATGTGAAGAAGATGCCAGCCCTCCGAGAGATCCTTTGGCTTTGCGCAGATGTTTACAGAATCGGTTCGATTCTGAATGCCCCTACTCTCTAGCCTCACTTTCTACCACTGGCTCCTCCGATTCTACATGGCCGAGCGTATCATCATTAAATTCAAATTTAAATTTAAAATCTAATCCAAGGAGGATGTTGCGAAGCAGTGCCAGTAAGCTTACGAAGTCCTTTGGCAATCTCCGAACCACTATCGAAGAATTTTCACAGGTGAAGATTGTTCTACTTATATCTATTTGCTTGTCAAACAAGGAGAGTCCAAGAAAGATTTCATGACGTTGAAGCATGAGGGCTTTTTTTTCATCGCGGATCAGGGTGGATCGCAGTGGAACGAACTGGATCGGAATCCTGAGCGATCCGGACCGATCCAAGTGTTCCAAGTGATAAAAAAATCCAAACTTGGAATTTGGTTCGATTTGTTATTGTTTTGATTTTTTGGGGACGGCAACTTCCTCGCATTAGGTTAGGATCACAGTGGACCGCGAGCTCGCCCCACCTCGGAAGAGCGATCCAGCGTTCCACCCTGATCCACCTGGAACGCTTGGATCACGCTGAGGAACGGAATAAAAAAATACCGATGTTCATCGCAATCCACTGCGATCCGCATAAAAAAAAGCCCCTATGACCACCATTCTAAGAACGATAATGCTGAGACATTATTCACAGACAGTGGGTAGCTGAAAAGGGCAGTGTCTCATTCCTCTGTTTTCGTAACTACAATCGTCCATCATGGCAGGGGTGCAGCAAGTGCCAGATCGGCCAATCACAGAGCAAATGTGAAGGCATCTGTAGAGGGAAAAATTGTGAAGGCATCTGTAAAGGGCAAAAATGTGAAGGCACAAGCCATGAACCTGCTTAGGGCATAGCTTTTTGCAAAGGAAACCGTGTGTCGCGCTCTTTTTTGAAAGGAAAAAGTTAAGCGTACTCTTTCATGGGAAGTAAGTAGTAAAGCACACTCTTATATGCAAAGGAAACGATGAAAGGTGCAAGTTTTATGTGGACCACATTTTGCCATAAGAACCACTATTTCTTGCTCATTTCAGAAACAACATATATGCTATTGGTTTCTCTATGAAGAAAGGTGCTTTTATAGAATAGCGAGAGATAGTGATTCCTTATTGCAAAATGTAATCCATGTGGACAGCAATGTGAAGGCAAAGAACTTTCTGCACTTCTGCATCATCGAGGCATAAAAAAACTTTCCAATCTGTATGGAGGCTCCACGGGGGCCTGGTTTTAGCTTAGATTCCCTTAAAGATTTGCATTATCTAGGAGCACCAAATGTTTCCTTGAGCTGTTCTATTGATGGTCTGCCTGTACTAATGTGAAATCATACTCGCTTAAAACGGTCACTTGACAATTTCCTTCAAAATCTTAACTAGTCAGAAATGAAAGAAGTAATGCTGTTCGAATGAACTTTTGCTGCAGCTTTTTTTTAAATCCTTTTTGTTTTGTCACGGGAGCAATTTTATTACATATGCAGATAAGAAATTGTATGCTATGTAAACAAGACCTTCTGACATTTCCCTCAAGTGTCAGCGGATTATTTTGAATTTTGTGTTTCTCATCCAAGGTTTTATTATATGTCCCTGTTGCATGAACTGTCTATGAAATACCTAAATGAGAATGAAGGCTGCTGATTATAAGATTCCTTTGTCGCTGCCTCTTTTCAAACCTTTATTTTTGGTCACAATAAACTATTCCGATTGTATTCGTTGTAACAAAGTAACGGGATATCGTAATAATAGATATTCAGACATTCTCCAAAATCAAACCTTTACAATGTTGTATTTTTCTGTTAAATAGAAATTTCGAGCTTCTACACGGAGGCGTAGTCGACTGTCTGACTCGCCTATCACTCCAAACACACCTCATTCAAGGACTCGCAAAATACTCGGCAGGACTCCAACCAAATTGTACAGCCCTTTTTCCATCATAACCCCCTCGCCAGGCAACAGAAGGAGTCGGTGCAATAAAGAAAACCTTTCTACTCCTCGGAGGAACAATTTGTAAGCATTCATAATATGTATCATAAAAAAAGCATATCAGGGGTGCAAAAAATTGTATATCTTATATTGTAAAATTTATCTTTATTGTAATATCTTTAGGTCCACAGATTGCAGTGAAAACGATGCTATTATGGGATGCAAGGCAAAGTCAAAACTTCGAAAAAGAGTTTTTGAAAATTAAAGGGTTCCCAAATGTCCAAAGTAAGGCAAATTGCTAATTTTGCCCTGAAGCCGGATCCTGAAAAATGATTAGGGTTTTGAAAAAATTTTGGAACTTTTTATATTCCCTAAAAACATTTTATTTAACCATGCTGATTATGACAATCAGATTTTTTGATTACGTCGTAATTGATTAAAGATTAGGACTTGGTTAAAGAGATGATCAAACTTGGAAGTAGAATTTTGACATACTTGTGTCAACTTTAAAAAGGAAATTTCCTTTTTTAACCTCATTTGCTCGAGAGTTAGTTGCTTAGGGTACTCCAAGAACATTTTTATCTATCCATCAATTTTCATAAGTTGAATGATGTGCTGGAGACACCTCGTCCAACAAAAAAATGTCCAAGCAAGTCGAGCAAATTCGAAGAATTTCAGTCGAGTTTTAAATTAAATTTATTTTTGATCACTTCCTTCTCCCCAAATAAGAGCACTTTTAATGAGGTATAGGGAGAAAGGGCAGGAGGAATGGAGAGAAATATTTTTACATTAATGAAAGGTATGCACCTTGATTTCTATCACATACTCATGTTTAAAGTAAGAAGGAAAGCATAACGGCAGAAACAGCTGAATTCGCAATGAATTACTCTCAGAGCAGTGAATTCTTTTAAATACATATTTAATTTAAATTTGAATCAATAAGTTTTTCACAAACTGATTGCAATAAGTGACTTGCAATAACTGATTGTATTGCAGTAAGTTTTTGTTGATTTTTCATTAAGCCACATGTCATTAAAAGAAAACCTCTATTTATTTTTTAAACTGTAGTAAATTGGTGCAGTACAGCTCAGACCTTCTTTGTTGGAGACTCCTTTAAATCAGCGGAAAGTGAGAATTGCAATGGAATTATTAAAACAGACTTTTTTCTTTTGTGATTTACTCCTTATGTCAAGGTGTAATAGAATTTTGCAGGTTTGCCAATCTTAAAAAGGAATAGGCTGTATTCAAAATGGAAGAAGGAAAATTTTCACCTTGCCAAACATTGAGGTTTAATTTGAATTCAAAGCTATTTTCATTCTCATAGTTGTTTTTACTTATTATTTCAATACCTATTATATCCTTTCTTTCTTTTTTTTTTAGAACTCCTCTGAAGAAGAACTTGGACAAAGCTGCCCCCAAGAAATCGGATCAAAGATTCACTGAGAACAAATCACTTGTTCAGAAATTCACACAGAAAAATGAGGAAACTCACAGACTGATGGAATGCTGATTCTTTGCTGGAAGATTACCTCTTATAACATCAACACATGTATACGTACATTGCAAAATGTATTCTGTTTTATTCTAGGAATAATCTTTTTCTAAAGTGTCGGGAGTTATAAGTTTCAGACAAGAGTAGATTTGCTATTTTAATGGCCGTATCTATTTCCAATACCCACCAGATCCTGTTAGATTTTATTTATAATTTTAATTTTTTATATTTTTATTTTAATCATTGCTTGAACTTGAATAAAAAAGACCCGCATTAATTTATTACCAGAGCTATTAAGCTGCATTTGCAGACAATTTTACATTTTTTTATTTTCTATGTATCTCAGACTCGAATAACTTCTTTATACCTGGTCCAGGTATTCAAAGTCTCTCGTAAGTTTCAATCATCGTATGATTTCAATTTGCAATTAAGTTTTATATCTTAATTGATTAAGTTTTTTAATCAAGTTTTACGTCTTTAGTCATCACAAATAAAGACATTCCATTTCTTGTTTTACCTTTTCTAAATGTGTATCAGTATTATTATCCTTAGTTAACTATAATAATTATGTGTGCAAGTACTATATTTCTATTTTATCTTATTTTTGATACAGTAGTAATACAAACAAAATCTTATGTACTTTGTTTCATTTATCAAAATGAATTATTTTTACTACATCAATGTTTGTTATTTTTCAAATATCCAAAAAATATTACTTTGACAGGGTGCCAAAAGTTTGAAGAAGGAAGGAAGTCGTGGGCATTTTTTCTCCCAACTAAAACAATGAAATTGTAACCAAATCTAGTACAACTGCATTTGTTATCGCAAAAAGGTTGGTGCAAACAGGACACCCCCACCCCCCTAAAGAATCTTTTAAAGGGACGGGGGCTCAAAGTTGAAAAAACTGATGAAAAATTTAATAAGCCTTTTAACTTTTCAATAACTAATATTTGCATGTCCGCCTCTATGTTCATTTTATAAAGGAGAACAAAGTGACATCATTCCTTAAAGTTTATTCAGAAAATTTTTAGCGCAGAGAAGAAAAATCACGGGGGTTTTAAAGAATTGCCGTTGAGTGGTTTTCCGTTCAAAAAATAAAGTATGACAGGAAGGCTGCGACGTGACAAACCGAGTTATGTGATTGCCGACTTACACCGTCGGTATGTAGCTTGAATATTAGTCGGGGAAATTGGACCGGGTGGAATTTGAGACCAAGGTTTTTTTCATGTTCCCGGAAATACTCAGAGTCATTTGTAATTTTCACCAAAAACCGATATGCTGATCATGAAATCAAGGAACTCTTCTTTTTAAAATTTTGAAGAAACAAAATATCATAAGTAAAGTTTGCACTTTCTTATCGAATTCTAGAGTGATTGATGCGGGTCGCGTATGCAGCCCATGTAAAGACCAGAGATGCAAAATAATTTATTTTGATGAGAAAGAATTTTCATTTTCCATGTAATTTCATGGAGCTGCGCACACAACCCGCAACAATATTATGAGGATTCGGTCCGAAACTGCAAAGTTAGACTCGTGATTTCTTCCCCCACACTCAATGTTTCACTGCCTCTATGCGTTTTGTGGCATACGCAGTCCCTTTTGCTGAAGCTTTAACAAATTTCCGTAAAGTTTTATGAAATTTTGCATTTCTGGCACACGGCGCGCCGCGCGCGCGTGACACGTCGCTCGGTTCGACGTTTGAACGTGCCTTCAAAACAGGAGGGAGCGTGCATTTGAGGAGGTTATGTTCATGGAGAAAAAAAAGGAGGTGTTTGCATTTCGGGCATCTTGGAATTTTTCATAGAGTATCTATAGCTTTGATGACGTCATTGGGTACAGCGACGTTTTTATCCTGTCGATTTTCTTGGAAATGGTGTAATTTAAGGGAAAAAGTCATTCTATAAAAAGTGCTTGAAATTAAATAAAGAGTTGATTTAAGTAAAAAAATCGGACATTATGGTCCGTTTTTACAGCGTCAACATAACCCTCAACGAGCGTCTTGTTTACATTGATGACGTAGGTGGGTACAAATCCTCAAGATGCAAACACCTCCTTTTTTTTCTCTATGGGTTATGTTGATGTTTGGCTGTTCTGTTTCTGTCTTGTCTGTTCACGTGTTCGTTCTCATGATGTTCGCCTCATTATAGAACAGAATTATTTAAATTTGCCTGTTATGATTTCGCCGTATCGTTGAATAATTTGTAAAGTAAATGTGCAAATGCAAAGAGGTTAGTCGATTGTTCTCTTTCACTTTATTCGAAGTTGATTCCGAGTCTTTCTGCCATCCTAAGCAAAAGTGCAGCAAGTTACTCCCCGAGTTTCATTTACATTTGATGACCCCTATAGTCGTGAGAGTTGAATATAATTAACAATTTCACAACTGAATATCGTCAGAAGTAATATTTTGTTAATTATCAACAGAGAAGTATCATTAATATTTGAAAGCAATTAGTTCAGAATTGCATCTACGTAATCACAAAACAACACTCGCAGAAATTTAAGTATCATTTGTTCCCTAAAATCAGTGCTGTTATTTTAAGATTTGTTAGTCTCCCAATGGGTTTTTGAATTTATATACATCAGTTTGTCTGTTAAATTTCCTTTCTTAGGGAGGAAAGTCATGATCCAGGAACGAGAATTAAAACCTCAGGGTGCTTACAAAGCGCCAAATTGAGCTCCTTTTGAGGATTTTAGAATCCTGGATAGCGCATTCTGTCAAACAGAACCAAACGCCATGGAAAAGTATTGCGAATATAGGATGGAACGAGCATCGCATTCCATAACACCTACCAATCCAACCCCTTCTCTCCTTTCCTCCCCCCATGGCGCTTAGCTCTGTTTGATAGAAATACGTCCATTTGATCTTTTCATTTTTGCCTTTTAGTTTTGCTCTGGTTAAATTATACTATATTGCATTAATGGATCCGGATAATTTTTTTTAGGAATGTATGCTGCTTCTTCAGAATGAGTTAATCTCATATGAAAATTTGTTCAAGAACGTATTTTACCTGCAAACTTCTTTATGAAAGTTTTCCATTTCAACTTTTGGTCTTACTCTACATGTGCTGCACACTCGAAGAAGAATGAACAAATTAAAGCTACTTCGCCCTTCCTTCTGTTCTGCCGCTGCCAAGGCTGCAAGTTCCTCTCCTTCAGCTGTAAATGACGTTTGTGGAGACCTTACACTGTCTGTTAAACCTTTCACTGAGATCCCTGGACCCAAGTCTCTGCCAGGCATTGGAACACTGTATAATTATCTTCCCTTCATAGGTGAGCTCTATCCCTCTTCATGACAAATGAGAAATAATTATTTGAAATAGGTACTCATAGCTGCCAGGGAATAGCTGCTCACAAATTAAGTCCCTCCTTGTGCCCTCTTACCGCTCAGTGATTCGTTCATATTCTTAAGATTGAACGCAAGATTCAGTCGGTATAAACCAGAAATTTTTTCAATTTCCCATTTTTGTTGAACGTTGAAATACATTTTTCACACTGATTTTTCATGTCGTTCATTATTTTTTTACTCTGTTGTATTATCCACTTTCTTATTTTCCCTTCATTATGATTTCATTTATTTGTTTTCATTCCAGGGGTCGATAATATTTCCGATTATGTAAGCCAAGCTCGCGCAAAAATTGTCGGAAGTCTTGGATTTTTTTCTTCTTTTTTTTGTTCTTTTTAGTGACTTCTGGCATAGATATGGTAAACTGAGCATTGATTAAGCCCCTCTTACCACCATTTCAAAACTTTATTCCCATTAGTCGACCAAAAAACCTGATGGCCACAGGAAAAAAAAGGATATCATCACTTTTTGTGGAAGCACTTTTTCGGCTCGCGCAAAATTGTGGAAAGTAGGGAACTCTGTCAACCCCTGTTTTATTCTAATTTATTAATTTTATGTAATATTTCTTTCCTCAATTTATTTCTTTGTATTTTATTTGTCTAAAAACTTTTTACATCTAGGGAAGGGGAGAACAAGGAGAACAATTAGGAGAAATTCATCAGATGCTAATAATCATAAATCAAAAATGTGAAAAGAAGGCAGGAACAGGTTTTAAGCAAGGAAATATTTTTTTGATCATAATTGCACCTACATACTAAATTGGGCTTGAACTTTCACGCCTCCAACAATACCTACTAGGTAAATCAAATTCAGTACTGAAACGCATTGGTAGATTACTTATACTTTCAGAAAATTTAATCGAAAACTTGAAGTAATCTGTTTTAATTTGGGGAGAAAAGTTTCAAAAACATTTTGAATTGACTCAAACACCCCTAGTGCCAAGGCGTTTTTTGAGGTGACCCTAAAAGAAAGTGATTTCTGAGTTACTGTTTGGGTAGTAAATCACAAAACCCTCTCTTTGGCTTTTGTAGATTATGTCCATGTGGAAAAAATTATGTTCATTTTAAGTACATAATATGTAATAATTTTTAGCATCTTAAGTGCGCAGCCTCTTATTTAGTGATGTACTCCTTTTTTTTCGTTTTCACAGGTAAATATTCATTCGACAGACTTCACCACAATGGTAAGAGTAAGTTGAATGAATTTGGTTCTCTCGTGAAGGAAGAAATCATCCCTGGTGTGTTTGTTGTTTGGGTTTTCACCGTCGAAGACATAGAAACAGTGTATGCATCTGAGGGCCAGCATCCATTAAGACGATCCCACCTGATTCTTGAAAAGTATCGCAATGACAATCCTCACATTTATAATTCGGGTGGGCTCCTCCCAACGTTAGTATTTTTATCTGAAAATGTTAATATTTTTACTGTAGATAGTGCTCGAAGCCTGGAAGTAGACTTTCTTTGCTAGCAGATGATTGACTATTGGACATATTTCTGCCAAACGGAACTATGTGCAACAAGATATGAGCCCCGAGACCCATAAGAATATATGCATAGCAGGGCTCACATCATAATGAACATAGTTCCGTTTGGCAGAAATACGCTCTATTAATACATAAATTTCTATGAAGTTCTGTAAAGTACCACCTAATTTCTAACATGATTTGAATTTATGTTTCCATAATGCTGTCAGTCAATGACAGAAGCAGTGACTAAGTTTGCCAAAACTGGAATTTCTTTTATTAAAGAAATTTCTCTGCTCTTATGCATGAAGAAGAAAAAATATCCTCTTTTAATTATTTGGTTTTAATGTTTTGGAGTCTCATTAATGCCTTCCAATATGACCCTATCTCTGTTCTTGCCTGTGTCATCTGCAACAGATGATGAGAGTAGCGAAAACGAGGAGGAGATATAATTGCAATGTCCCAGAAGATTAAAAAATACAGACACCAACCATTAAGATCTCCAGTTTAAGTATGTACATCATTTTTGTGCAGAAAATTATCTGAGGTGGATGTGCACCAATCAGAATGTAGGAAAAAATGTAGAAAATCTTACTGCAGCAAAGCGCTTGAGTCATGTTAAAAGTAGGCACCATACAGACTTTTCATCATAACTGTATGAGTTACTGAAATGTCCAATTGAATTAATTCAAACTTGTAAGTAGAAATTGCTTCAAATATTTTTAGGACTCAGCATATGAACTTAGGTGACCTATTAACTGCTAGGTTAAAGTGTAAAAATCAGAAATTTTACTTATTCTTTTTTCAAGTAATTTTGATGTGTTTCATCTTAATGTTAAGGGCGTTTGAAGCCCCTGCACAGTTGAATTTAGTTCGTCTCTTGTCCGAAAATGAAAAATAAAATAAGGGCTTCTTATGTTGGATGATACCATTTTTTAAGCAGCCAATATATTTCTCTCAGTTAGTTGCACACTAAAGATCTAAGTCAAGTAACAGTTTATAGTACGAGAATGGGTCAGTTGTGCTAGTCATAGAATCGCTATTTGATGGCTTAAGCTTATGGACCAGCAAAAAAATATATTGATGGAGGTACGTCTCATATAAAAACTCAACGTATGATGTCATCCAGTGCAGCAGTGCAAACCACGGTTTCTACCACCTTGTTTTCATTAATCAGTGAAAGGCACATTGGCACGGTTTACTTAATGTAAAAGCGTATGAAACCAAGGTGGAAGAAACCATTGCATGCATCCCCATGGTGGATGATGTCAATCACTGTGTTTTTCAATGAGCAATATCTCTGTTGTTATCAGATGGTTAGCATTTGAACAGATCCTACAAATGCATACCAATCTATATCCTGAAACTATTGGAGCACAATTCTATGACCGGTGCATCTGACCCATTTTTTTAACCTTAAAAAAAGGTTATCCTCTCTCTCATGTCAGTCTGTTTTTTTTTTTATTCAGGAATGGATTAAAATGGATGGAACTTCGCAAAGGTTTCCAAAAAGGGTTGAGTCGAGTTCAAGATGTTCGACTATTTTTACCGGAAATCAATTCCATCATGCAAGACTTCATTGAATTTCGGCTCAAATCACAGTCCCATCATGATGATTTTTTGCCTGATCTCTCCCGTCTTTTTTTAGAATGTAAGCAAGTTTTCCTCAATCTGTCAGAATGAAAATACAATAGAAGGGACCTTGTTTTAACCTTAGCAAGTAATCAGAATAAAATGGCAGTGTCTACATATTTGAAAAATTCCGGTGTGTTCTGAGGACCAGGGGTGGAAATTGTCTTAAGCCTCTGCAATTTGCTGTGTTTTTGCAAAAAGATCAGTACAACGCGCTTATCAATATTTTGTTGAATTTGTTGCTAATTTTAGAGTGTATGCCAAAGTCGCATTTTTTCACAAGAGTTGTAAGTTTAAGAACTGAAGAATCTAAAAAAAAAAAAAAAAAAAAAAAAAAAAAAAAAAAATTCTCAGCCTCCATAATTTAGTTGCGCAGTCAAGAACAATTCGCACCCCTGCTGAGAACAGGTTTAGTTGGGTGGGGCGGATTTTATCTCAAGCATGTTTTGGAAGTCAAGGTACATTTAAATACTAATCTATGCCCGCGGTGTAGGTAGAATATGAATGCTCACCCAAGCCTGAACCAGCCTTTAGTTAAGGAATAGTGAATTGGAAGTAGAAGTCCCACAGTAATCAATTTCTAGTTACCTCATGGTTCTCCTCTTTATTGCAGTACTAATCAACAGTTCAAATTTTGATTTCAGTAACTGTTTCAATTTCATTCGGAGAGCGTTTGAATAGTTTCAGTCTGGAGGAGAAAGATCCCTCGTCAAAATCATCTCGTTTGATTGATGCTGCTTTCACAGTTAACAGCTGTATCTTGAAGTCAGACAATGGGCCTCAATTGTGGAAGAGGTTTCGAACTCCAATTTATCAGAAGTTTGAAGCAGCGCATAGCTATCTTGAAAAGTAAGTTGGTTAAAATTAGTTGAAACCTTTAAATATTACACCATGTCTCATTACAGTTTTTCCAATTAATGCAACAAAGCTCATGATAAAAAATAGAAAAAGCACATTTGACTGGTCTGATGCTTGCAAGAAATTAATTCTGTAATATTTCAGCCGTTTCAAAAATTTCTACTAATAGTCGATGGTCATCAAGAGCCAAGATCTCATTTCATAATGAACATCTGCATTAAGCAAAGTATGATTCTGAGAGTATTATTCTCAAAAATCCACTTTTTACATCTGGAACCAACCTTTTCTATGAATTTAAGTACGTTTGAATTTTTTCTGAATTTGAAGGGATAGAGCAAATAACACCAAAAGTTTGATATTTTTATATTTTACACTATCTCATAATGCAATATGAATGTATCAGGTTCATCCAAAAAGTAAGGTCTTGTATGAAGTTCCTCATGAAATTTTCATTGCAAGAAAAAATAAATTACATCGCTGAATTCAGTATACTCTCAGTTTCAACTCAAGCCATCATTTCTTAAAATTGGGCTTTGGAACGTTTGGTAGAGCAGTTTCAGAATTGCTTTGATGAAGTATGAAAACCCTCTGAGTTTGCGGTTTGGGCATGCGTTTAAAAGTGTATTGCTTAGAGAATAACACAGTTCTCTTTTACCTTCTAAATGTACTTTTCATCGTAATTCAAATGTTTTTATCCTTTTTTGTGCAATTTTTCAGGGTGGGCTGCGAATTAATTGAAAAAAAAGAGAAAGAATTGAAGAAGAAAAGTTCTGATGATTCCGTTGAAAAACTATCACTTGTGGAACAGTATTTAAGAGCTATTTCCAGCCCTTCATCAAAACTTGATATCAAGGATGTGAATGGAATAGGTATTGATTTTTTACTCGCTGGTATTGACACTGTAAGTAGTAACATAATTTAATTTATTTTTCTTTTCTTGCAATTTCATCGTGACTCAAAACAGTCTTCCAGCTCAGAAAATTTATGTAGCACTCAAATTTTTGATAATCTGGTTTTTAAACTAAATGTGATCTCAAAATAGATCAGCTGTACTTAAAGGGGATGGCAACCTTAAAAACAAGTTTGGCTAAATCAACAAAGAAAAGTGTGGAATGAACAATGCCGAAATCCGTTTGCAAATATCTGCATTCGTTGAGCCGCTATTGCGAAAAAACAGCTGAGCGCGTGACATCATGAGCTCTGTCTCGCATTTCACAGTCTTCACTCTGCATACTGTCTCTGGTGTCAAGTGGCTCACTCTTTTTTCTTTGCTTAAATGTGACTATTAAGGCGACTTTGCGGCGCCAGATAGCAAACACGCCAGACTTCGAGTTGTGTGCGTGTGAACCACAGTCGCAGCGGGAGCGCATGACGTCACCAGTCAGACTTACAATCTTTCATATCTCTTCCGATTTTACGAATTTCTCATTCGGGGCAGAGCCATATTGCTTCTTAAACCTTTCCGCTTCAATTTTTAATACTATCTCTTTTTCGATACTAGGGTTGCCGTCCCCTTTAAAGGTGTGAATATTAAAGGCGATTTTAATAATGTAACTTACAAGTTAGGTTAACCTGATTCATTCATTCATTTGCTTGATTGCTTAGGATGTGGGCGTCAGGCTGCTATTCAATAATGCGGAACATTGCTTGTTGCCGTCATACATTACATTAAAACACATCACTTGCTATAAATTAAAAAATAACAAATGAAACTTATGTTCAGACTTCTCAAAAGATGGAATAACTATCTTGTGTACGTTGCATGATAATACTAACATTAAGTGCGCAAGGTAGTCACTCAGTCTTCCAAAAAAAATTATATTTCTGTTTTACTTTTATTTTACATGTTAATTTTTTTTCTTAATCATATATTGTGCTTGAACACAAAATATGAGAGGCAATGTTTGGCAGTGTTAAAAAGAAACCTGGAGATGGAAGAGTTTTCCAAAATGCGCACAATCCAGACAAATAGACAGAAAGGAAAGACAAGATAACGAAGCTTACTAAATCAGCTTTAATCAGATGAATTAACCTTCAAAAGGAATTGTTGTAGGCATTTGTTTAAGCCTTGCTTTTACGGAAAGCATATAAGAATTGAGACAAGGAAAATGAAGGAAATGAAGAGATGATCTGCACAGGAAGGCATCTTGACTTTTATTGTAGAGAACAAGTACTTAACAAGAGCAAGTACTAACCTGGCAGACTCAAACTCCTCCTAGCCTCAACACTGTGACCAACCCAGAATCACGCACTACTTCGATTAAGCCAGGTCTCAAGGCTGTCTCTTGAGGGAATTCAAATTTTGAACAAATAGTGTAAGCTATTTTAAGTTTATCACCTCTGACCTTAAATCAAACACCGGTTCAAATAAGAAAATGTTTATTTTTCAGTCCTCCTACACTAGCTCGTTTGCCCTCTATCACCTGGCAAAGAATCGAGAAAGCCAAGACTTAGTACACAAAGAGGTCAAGAAACTGATGAACAATCACAACTCAGACGGCACTATCACAGCTGAAATGTTGAAAAATGCATCCTACACAAAAGCTGTTGTGAAGGAAGTTTTACGAATGAACCCAATATCAGTTGGTATTGGTCGTATACTAGCCAAAGATGCTGTACTTTCAAATTATTTTGTTCCAAAAGGAGTAAGTCTCAACAAATTTTAAGTTTTCCATACTTGCATGTGTTTCAACTCTGATAACTTTCTGATACAATGAATGTTTCCCAAAGGAAGGAAGAAATGTTTTCCACAATTCAATACAATATAATGAGGGGAACAAAAAGTCTCTTCATGTAACAGGATCATCTTCTTGCGCCAACAAAAGCTGCAGAGATGAAAGCAAAATAAAAAAAAAAATTGTAATCTACAAACTGTAAACTGAAGACGATACTTTTATCAAAGTGCCTGTTAGAAGTGGAAAATGTTGGCATCGGTAATTTCTGAGGTCAACAGATTGGAAACATCCTCAAAATTGGAGGTGAAATCGATAAATTTGTGTCCAAGCTCGTAGCATTTGCTGATGTGAAGGGGTTTAAAGCATCATCTTGCATCAATTTAAAAGGGTTGATGGACAAATCATTTTTCTCCATTCTCTGACTTTTTTCTGACTCCTGAATAGAATCTGCCATTATGTACAAGGCTGACGGAGTCTGTTGATCTATAGTTAACATTTTAACGTGAAAAGTTGTTGTAATTTGCCAATAGCTGTGAGTGGTCTTTGAATATTTTATTTCTTCTTTTTTTAAGACAACTGTTGTTACTCAAAATCAAGTATCGTGTAGACTGCCTGAATACTTTAAGAACCCAGAAGAATTCAGACCTGAACGCTGGTTGAAAACAAGTCCTCTCTACCAACCTGTTAGTCCTTATCTTGTTTTACCCTTTGGTCATGGACCGCGGGCTTGCATTGCCAGGCGTTTGGTTGAACAAGAGCTCTGTGTTCTCATAATGAAGGTAAGCTCCAAAATATAAAAATTGAACTGAATTGTTTACTTGATGAGGCAGCAGCAAAGTATAATCTTAAAATTTGTTCTTTGATAATAAGCCTTTACCCTTATTTTGACACTCTTAGAGATGAAGCAGAATGGACTTATGTATAATTGGACGTATTTCTGTCAAACGGAACTATGTGCACTATGATGTGAGCCCTGATACGCACATATTCTTATGGGTCTCAAGGCTCATGTCTTGATGCACATAGTTCCGTTTGACAGATATCCGTCCAATTGTATCTCATTGGAACAAAGAATAAAATATAATTGTCTTGGTGGAAGGGACCTCAGTCAATAGAGGTAAATTTTCAAGAAATCGATTTTTTCAAGATGGGTTCAAAGACTGGATTTTTAGTTTTTGACAGAAAACACGCAACATTATCCCAAAGAATAAGTCTGAAGCAGTTAAGTCTGCTTTTTGTCCATGGGGTGTGTGAAGTAGCTGTTTTAATTCTAAAGTTATAAGCCCGGAACATGGCAGATGAAAATTTGAAGGAACTATATCCTAAAATTAAGTACGTCTTTTGAATTGCAAACTTCAAGCTATCATAACTTTAGTTAAGTTCAGTACTATTTAGCGTTCTTTACTTCTGTGCTTTTAATATTTGTAGAACACACCTCTGATTAAGAGAACCCATAGTTCAATTATTAATTTTTTTGCACAGACCAAGATCCCTTCAGTAAACATTCCAAAAGCGATTACATAACATTTTTACACCATTGTAGCTGTTCCTAGAAGGTTCCAAGTAACAAAACTTAAGGTGATTCGATGGACGCCATATTTTGTGTCAGAACGGCATGTGATATACCGCATCAATTGGTTCCATTTTTTCAGCTACTCTTCATTTTTCTCAAATTTGAGATCGCAATTCTGTTGTCAGGAGACTAAAGCACTCACTTACCAATTTTAACAAAGAAATTTAAAGTAATAAAGGCGTGGTTTTTTTAGAGAGAAAATATCGCATTCGAGTGCAGTTTCGATATCAGTATCAAATGCGATGTTTTCTCTCTAAAAAAATCACGCCTTAATTATGTTGAATTTGTTCGTAAAAATTGGTGAGTGCTTTAGTCTCCTGATAACAGAATTGCGATCTCAAAATTCGAGAAAAATGGTTAGTAGCTGAAAAAATAGGGCCAATCAATGCAATATATTGCACGTCGTTCTGACACAAAATATGGCATCCATCAAATCACCTTAATGTAGCCTCTGCTCAATGTCTCTTTTTGTAGTGATAGGTATAGAATATTCTTCTTGCATCCATCTTAACTATTGATTTTATATTTTCTCTCCTGTAAATTTGTTTTCTGTCACATATACAACTGTCATTTCTAAAAACTGACCTCATTTTTTCTTGTTTCAGGTAATGAAAGATTTTCAAATCGAGTGGAATGGCAAAGAGACCTTGGATAGTAAATCTTACCTCATTAATAAACCCGATGGACCTATTTCTCTAAGTTTCCTGAGTCGCACATAATTCCAGATTCTAGCATTTCGGGAAATTTTTCATGTATCCAGTGATTGAAGGTCCTGTTTTAGTACCTGCGTAAAATCCAACTACATATTGTTTCTAAAAATTACTTTTGAGGTAATTTTGAAACAGATGAAGATCACCCTTGAGCATTATCATCTTGCACGTTGTTTTGCTTCTGAAGCTATCTACTTAATTGAAGAAGAAATTTAATATTGAATGATTTTCCAGTCCCTCTAATTTTTGAGTCGGTCAGCAAAAACTTAGCATCAAGCTGATGAATGCTAGCTCACAAGGTGCGGCCAACTCAGATGCTTCCAAAAAAAAAAGTAACTGGGGAGCTAAAACTTGGATAAGCGACAAAGAAGCCACATTGTAGTGCAATGGTATATTTTGATAGTCTCCCTAAAATATTTCTCAGGGTCTTCCTAAAAAACCACCAGCGAGAAATTTAAAAAAACAAGTGCCTTCCAAAACTTTTCTGTGATTTTAATTAAGTTATTATCCCCTTGAAACTCAGATAATTAAACTTTGGTTTCTGTAGAGGCCACCAATATTTATTTGCCGAGGAAGAAATCTCAAAAAAATGAATTTTTATTCATTTTTTTCTCACCAGATATGCTCTGCAGCATCATATGCTAGGTGTCCAAGTTCATAATTGAATCAGGAAGTTTTACTCCTACGCATTTTCGTAGAGCCTGTATTGTAAACATTTTTTATGCCCAATGTCTTGGTAGTTCTCCAAAATTCTTGCAACGGTTCTATGTTGAACTTTCAGTGGCCTCTAAGTTTTTTCTTGATTAATTTAATATATTGGCTGCAGAGCCACTCTACTTAGAGCAGCATTGTGCTTACAAATTTCATCGAGCCGACTGTTCTGTGATAGTATTTATTTTAAAGAGTGGCTACCAGCAAACTAGTGCACTCTTTATCATCCCTATTGCAACTGAAACACTGTCTACACTTGTCACTGAAGTTGCCCATGCACACATGAGCCTCAGCAAGATGGCAAATGATTGTTATGGAGGCAAGCCAGCTCGTCTCAGTTTTGTCCTCTGAAATGGGGTGGTGGCATAAACTGCATTTAATTTTATGGGCCAGTACTAACTGTGTGATTTACTGAAAAAATTACACAGTTTACTCAAAAATGGGGCCGCTGCATGATCCAGGAGTAGTCTTAAAAGCTGGTGTTTTTTGAGTTAATAAGTAGAGACGCATTCCAGAACTTAAAAAAGCTCAAAACAGTTTTTCTGCCAGGAAAAAAGGGCTTATGTTTGTAGTGAAATATAGAAAGTTTCTCAGTGGCCTGAAGCCGGTGACATCCTATGAAGTACCCACCCATGATTTGCCCATCGACTGTGGATACCCACCCACCGTAAATCGTACAGCACATGACCGCCTTAAGATTAAGTCACAAACAATTTCATTTAAAAAAAAAAAAAGAAAAGAAAAAAAAAGTATTCCTTGCAAATAGCACTGACACTAGTCAAGAAACATAACCTTTTGTTAAAAGTGCTACTGAAAAGCAAATAAAATATGTAGGAGAAAGGATACACAATGGTCAATTCTTCATGTCGAATCACAGCATCTGTCTTGGCAATGTTTTTCCATTTAAAATGGAGTAGAATTTTTTGCTACTTCGATAGCTTTTCCTCTCAGCTAGCATTCAATCACAGAGATGGAAAATTGTAGAAACCCTCATTTTTTTGCATACTTCCCAAAAATAATTTTAAAAACATTTTGCAACAGTTCCATTATTCATCATAATACCACTGACAAATTAAGGGAGATTGTTAATAGAGGTTCGCATTCAGTGTCGGTATAGAGGAGGCGACGTACACCATGCTACTGTCCTCATAATATTGCGAGACAGCCATCTTGTTTAAATTTAATTGCTTGTTGTTTGTTAGTATTTACGAATTATTGTGTCGATTTATTTGTGGTTTTACATGTCCTATTTTTTTAAACTCAGTGTTCAGGCACATTTTATCCGTGTCTTTGTTTCAGAGTTCCTAAACATTTTTACTCAAAGACAACAATGTATACCTACTTTTCCACCATGTTTTATTTGGGAAGTAAACTTTCTAAAACTGATTTCTCCGTTTTTACAATTTCTTCTCATAATTGATTATCCCTTTTCAAACATTTTTAAAACACAGCTGACAATTTTCAAGACATCATCAGAATCTTGAGAGGATTTAGGAGATGTTGCTGATAGAGATAAAAAGAAGTAAGTTCTCAAGTAAATTTTTTCGCAAATAAATTACGCAAAAGTAATTGTATTAGTTATGCTTAAACATGTGAATTACAAAAATAATTAAAAAAATAAATATTGCTCATCATATCAAACAGTTCGTGCTGTAAGCTAAACTTATTAAAAAATGAAGATATTTGGTAGATTACTCAAGTTAAACTTGATGGACCTAGAGCTTATGACATTAGTTCACACCCATAAGATCTAAATTTCCAAGTTACTTTTTTCAATAACACTTAATAACAGGAATCATGACTGGTCTGTCTGGCAGGTCAGTGGTGGTATTGTGTCATTGAAAAAAGAGGTGAACAAATTTAGATCTTTTAGGTATGAACCAATATCGTAAGCTCTTGGACGATAAATAAAAGCACTAAGGTCAACATTCCTTAAATAAATAATAATAACACAAAGAAAACAAGAAATCAACTAAGTACCTATGATATACACACTAAGACCTCCGATATTACTCAAGGTGAGTAAAAAGTAGGTGTTCTCTTCTGGAAACATCTGAACATTACTAAGACAACTGGGAATTTCTGAAATTGTGTTTTGGCGCAAATTTTGAAATGGGACCAAAAAAAGCCTTCCAAGAGGAAAAAAAATCGAGACTTGATGCATTACACTTCAGCTGAAAACTAGCCAATTTCATTGATTTTGTATTTCTTTGTCTCAGTTTTGTTTCAATTTCACCTGATTTCCTAAACGTTCATTTTAAGGTGATATATTATACTTCTCATTTAAAATTGACCAAAATGTTCATTGGGCATCGTTGAGCACTAAATTAAAGCACTACTTGGAAAATTGAATCGTTTTACACTGTACAGAGCTGAAAAATAAGAAAAGAAAGTATCTCGAAATATTTTTTCTTAAATTTAAAAGCATCGTAATGTAGATTTCTAGTACAGTTTTTTCAAGCAATCACTTTAGTTGTGTTGAAATACTTATCGATTTAAAGGCAAGAACTAGGTATGAGGGACGTACAAATTTGGGAAAGATGAAGGCAATTTGCACGTTCAAAATTCTGCTGTTTTTATTTTAGTCTGAAAATAGGATGTATTAGTCACCAGCAGCATGGGAAATTTGACAAAAAATGGGCTTTGATCAATTTTGTCTTATTGTGCCGATGAAAGCAGCTGAGGACAACAAATTATACACTCACTTGAAAGCAGCCACCTACTTTCTATCTACTTTAGATCCTTTTATTGTGATGAATACTAGCCACTCAGAACAATAATCAATTGGACGAAATTCTGCCAAACAGACCTATGTGTATTGTGACGTGAGCCCTGTTACGCATATGTTCTTATGGGTCTCAGGGCTCATGCCTTAATGCACATAGTTCTGTTTGGCAGAAATAAGTCCGATTCTACCCCACAAGCATTAAAAGTATAAGTAAAGGAACAACGCTTGAAAAAAATCAACTCCCATTAAACTCCTGTTTTAAAATATTTAGATGAATTCAGATTAAGCTAAAATTATTTCATTTTTTAGAACGTTAAGAGGGTATCAAAGCTTCAACTCTAACTTCAAAATGATTTCTCAGAAATTATATTATGAATACATTTTTGGCAAAGCTAAAATAGAAACTTACTAAAGAGGAACCAACATTTTTTTGGTTGTCAAACAAAGGTTAAATTCACTACTTTGAAAGTAGCATCCTGATCTGTTAATGCTACGTTGTTGAACCCGAAAAATCAAGTCCAAAAGTCCAATTTCTCAAGATTAGAATATCCAAAAACCAAACAGTCTGAGACCCCTTTTAGGCCCCAAGGAAAATATAGATGAATAAATGTTAAAAACACCAGAAAGAGTTAGGGTTGTGTTTATGACAACTAGTCGCTGGATGTTTATCTCAGGTAGCAAGGACTATCATTGACAGTCCTTCCGTTTTCTCGCAATCCTCTCTAGAATTTCTCACAATTTTCTTTTAATTTGTAGGCAATAGTAGGAATATGACTGTTGTTGAGTTGAGAACACAACATCTCTAGGTCTCTCTATCTTAATATTATCTAAAATTTTCAAATGTTAAGATAATATGTTCATTTTTTTTTTTTTCAATTTTCTGATACATGATTTGAAGGACGGCATTATTCGTTGGTACTGTAATGTTTTTCCTGTACTTTTAATATCTTCTCAATGATTCCTTTTGTACTGACAATTTGACTTCTGGATATAATTTTTTTGGGCCCAATGACCTAGCACTGATCAATTGCAAACAAAGGACAGTACAAAAGCAATACGATGAGACACAATAAACCACAACGCTTCTTGAAAAATAAGATATGAGGGACTTGTGAATGCTAAAGTTTTTTAACCTGCTTGTGGCGGGTCAAGGTGCAGATTTTGAAAGACAATAATTTAGCACTATGACTGCCACAGTGCTGACATTCTGTAGGACTTGCCATGCAATAATTCCCGAATTATGAGGAGAAAAGTGACAAAAATTTAGTGACATTCTTATGGTCAAATTTTATTTTTCAAATGATAGGCTGTTATTGATGTTATCTATCATAACTTGACTTATAATTTACAAGTAATTGCAAATTGATATTCCGTGATAATATATAAGCCAGAGTGACTATATTTCTTTTTAGAACTGAATAAATGTTTTAGGAGAATTTCCTATCTTGTTAATCATTGAGAATTAATTTCTGATGGTGAATATGTATCGAACTACTATAACCTTACTTCGATCAAGCAGCGCTTTCTAAAGCTAGAAATATTTGGGCATCAACACAGCCAAGAGCAAAATGCAAAGAAACTTTTCTAGATCCTAAGTTGTTGACAATATGTGTTCAAGCTGCCTCTCTAAACTTTACCTTTATACAACTCATGAGAGCTTCCCTTTCATCACTCTGGCTATTTGCGCGCTCAGTACACCAAACAGACAATTCGCCCCAATTTATGTCACTAACCTTCAAACCCCAAATCAAATCCGACCTGAAGATAGGTAGTTTTTTTAAAACGTTCTTGGTGAAAACAGTTCTCTTCTTTAGTGCTTCTGTCACAGGAGAAACAAATTAGACTATAAGTCCGGTGAAAATGAAGTCAAGAGTTCCCTACAGACTGGAAGAGAGTTCTGACTGTGACTCATTGGAAACATTAGCACCATTGATATAAAGACTGGGTGACGGAGTGATTGATGGTTGAGGTGATGGTGGTAAGTTTTGCATATGGTACTTGTAAATGTTTTCTGTGGATTCAACTACTCCGGCTGCCAAGTTGAGACTTCTACCTTTGATCCCTGTGCTTCCATTAATTGGCTCTTTGTTGACAGGTGACCACCAGTTAACAAGAGATCCAAACACTGGAACGTGGCGTAAAATTCCCTCTTGCCAGAGTTTGTCCTCAGATTCTTTTTGGAGGTCAAGTGTGGCTGCCTCAATTCCTACAATACAAAAAATAAAAAAAACGAATGCTATATTCATTAGCATACCACTGAATCTAGTTGGTGATTACACTTCATTACTGGTATTCAAAGTAATGTTTTTGAAATACTAAGAATTTATGAATATTTACGAAACGAAAATAGGTGAATAGGTCCAGAAAACGACCATCTCTAATAAAAAATGTTTAATGTTTTACTGTTTTTACGTTTTAAAAATTTTAAGATGAATCCTGACAGGAAGTAAGAAAATATCAAGAAGTAAAATAAAATTCCTTGAGCTCTAGTTTTATTTTCAGCTGGCTGCTTCAGCTCGCTTTGTTTGCAAACGAAAGTCGAGGAAATTGGCCCAGCAGTTACTCAAAATTGAGGATCACAAGGTTTTGACCCTTGCAGTTTTATTTATATATACTCTTGGAAGAGAATTGATTAGAACCTCTCAATGCCGTATTAAGCTATTCGTTTCAAAGAAATCTGATAAAAACCTTGTAAAGTCATTCAACTTTTGGAAAAAGAACTCTTCAGGGTGCATTGAAGGAGTACTCCTACTTCAGTGCATGAATATACAGCAAAGTTGGCAAAGACTACTCATTGGGGCACAGAACTACAATGCCTGCAGAGAAAACAAAGCAGCGCCAGAGAAGGGAAGATGACAAGCTTACTGCACTGAAAGGCAGAGCAGCAGCCAGTTGCGCATTAAACCAGTTTATCAAGGTAGAAAAAAAACCACAAAGTTCAATCAGTTACAATCAGTCTATGACGTAACACTGATTGTAATGTATCTTCTTTTTACTAAACATTGAGAGTCAAACCACACTTAAGCAATAATTGTTCAAAATCTTGATGATTCTTAATTTTCAGTAAAAATTTACTGCCTAAAATAAGAAGGTGAAAAGAGATAGAATGATTTTCATAATATTTGATGAAATGCCGACAGATATCTGAGTTAGGTTAAATAGCAGCTGGAAAAGTGCAGGGCGAGTATTATTTCCAATAGTTTCATGATTTTATAACCTAAAAAAGCAATGGAAAAAATATTACCTTTCTTGACCACTTCTGCCATGGTATCGATATACTTCCAAGATTCTTCTTGTTCCTTGCCAGTCATTTCAACCAGACGCAGAAGCTCCACTACATCTGTTTCAGATGTAATCATACCGAACCGCACACAGACTGTATTATCACTTCCTTCACCTGGAACAATCATTGATTAAGTTCAGTTCTATCCACGAAAGGAAATCTCCAATTTTAAAAGGACAAAGGAGGAACCCATCGATTAATGTTTAAAATGTAACATGTGAATTAGAGATGAATTTATGAAATTAACTGAAAAAGTCTGCACTCTGGTTTTTTACTAAAAAGCACTATCAGCCCTGCTGGGTTGAATAAACTCAGTCTGAAACTTGCTCCAGGTGAAACAGTAAATATATAGTTAGCTACAATACCAAGGAAATTAATCCTTCCGTTTAAACTGATCGCATTTCAACGGAGGAAGACTTATCAAATCGAACAGTTTTACACGATAAACAAGAAAATTTTTCCGCTCTTCTTCACTTGCGGTAACTTTTACAATGTTACAATGTTAAATGTTGATGGATAGAATTTTGTTGGATAGTTGTGAATTTCCATCTGTCGGTAAATAAAATATGAAAATTCTATACATGGATCTTGTAAATGTTAACCTGACTATTATAGTTATTAAAATATTTGATCAATACGAGCTATTAATTTGCAGACAGTAACTTACCAATTGAGAAAGCAGCATCTGTATTACGCAATTGTTCCACCAGCTGTGTATTTAATTTGTTCAATTCATCATTGCTATAATTAGATCCTACTGGAATGTATCTAACTCCGCCTAAACCAGCCCAACTTTCCATTTCCACTAGTTGTAGACATTCTGAGCTGTTGACTAAATTTATGAATGTTTGCTTATAGCCAACAGTCGCAGTTAATATCTCCTGCAAGATAAATTATTCATCAGTAAAACCATGATAATTGCTGTAGTAAAGACATTAACAAGTACAGAATATGAACTAGTTTTACGAGTCTAAAGATTGAGACTGAAGCGCCAAAAAACCCTGAAGGTGAAATTTTGATTTGAAAATTTATTAGACTCAACTGCACTGATCTGCACTGAAACTGCGTCTTTGCACTGATACATGATGGAGTAAAATTCGATTTTCTCATTTTAAAAAATGTTGAAATTTTTCTGAAATAGGATGGTGTTACTGATGTTGTTAAACATAATTCCCAAAACAAGAAACTCTCCATTTTAGGGATGTGATGACTACCTATCTCTAAGTAATAAATGAATCCATTTCCAACCTTTCAGCCTCAATTGCATATGATGCACGTCTGTATTCAAACTCTTCAGTTCATTGACTTGATTACCAAAATTCTTCTCTTGTAATTGATAATTGTATCGATTTGACCTGTGCCCATCCCCGCTTAAGGCTACCAAGCTAAATTGAGGTTATCAAACTAAATCGAAAATAGTATTAATTGGTTTTTCTTGGAGATAGAGAACTACCCAGTAAGGAAGATTTTCAAAACTTATTCTTCGTTAGAATTTTTTAAACTAAAAAGTGGTTGACCAAGGGAGCTCCGAAAATAAAAAATTACCCATTCAGTGAAGAAATACTTTTGCTGGGCAATTTAGAGAAACGACTTGATAAAACAAACAAACTACAAATATTTTTTGAATGATTCGAAACATCCTGAGTACAAAAGAAAAATTCTTCACTTTACAAGATTAATTAATTAGTGGTAGCCATAAACAACGCACCAGTTGTTGCTCTAGGCAAATGGAAAATTTCTCGCAGTCCTCTGGCAAATTTGGTTTTGATTCGAATGGGCAGTATCTCAAGACTATGCCAAACGGTTTGAGGGACAAATATTGAATAGAGATCATTGGCATGTCTCGCTGAAGAATTTGTCCTAGCTGAAAAACATAGCAAAGAACAATGTACCAGATTTGTTACAAATTTGGATACAATTGACAGAAAAAAATCAACTCAAATAATTAAAATTATTTTCTTTTAACAAAAGTTTAAAATCCATTCAAATCAAAAGATTCTATTAAAGACTGGTCTAAACTTTAAGCTTTGAATTTGTATAGAGACTTGCTTTCATCTATTGAGTCTTGCTGATTGAAAAGATACAATTGAGGAAAAAGTTACTTCCTGTTGTCACCTTGTTTCCCACTGCTGATTTAAAAACTGATTTTATTTGAAACTTTTGTTAAAAATAAATCCATTTTTCCTGACAAAATCAATCAGAAAAGGGGAAAAAGAGGGAGAGATGACAGTCTGTTTTAGTACAAATATGATGGATAATACTTTTGAATGACTGCCCTTGAAAAACTCCACGGATCGTGCCTTTCTAAAAACACCATTGCCTTTTGAGCAATTTACTGGAAAGCAACGTTTGCCAGGCATAATACAAGAAAAATCCTTGAAAAGCATGTCAATGATATCATCTGCAGTGATATTCTTAAGGTACTATTTCTGTTGATATTGGATTTAAAAACTTGACGCTCTGATAGATCTTGTGGTTGTTTGCTAATCTATAAGATTTTCACCACCAGCAAGCCGATTATGAACGATCGAATTCTGATCGATTTTAGGAGTTTCTGACAGATTTTAAGGCCTATCGATTTTCGATCGATTTCCGATCGATTTCCAAAAAAAAAAATGGCTTCCAAGTGGAAGCGCCGTTTTTTGGACAACAGATCCAATAAATAAGAAAAGAATCAAGAAAATTAAGAAAGAATTAAAATGAAAAGTGTACAAATGATGATTTGTAGTCCGTCAAATTAAATATTCGCGGTAATATTCAAAATATTCGAAAGCGCGCGCGATGAACGGTTGATTCGGAAAGGTTTGTTTATGTATTACTGCATTCTCTCTTAGCCTCTGGTGAATGAGTGTTTTCTTGTCAGTTATTTTACATTTTGAAGATATTATCAAACTAATTAGATCATTACAATACTTCCATTATAAGGCAGTCAATTTGGATCACATTCTATCCTTTGGAGAAATGGTTAGCAAACCGCAAAGTGGTGTGTGTGACGGATCTACGAGATGTTGGTTCGCTCTCTGAATACCGATCAAAGCTATTCAATGGTGATACACGAGGTCCTTATTCACATTTAGTCATTAATATTTCATCCGTAATTTGTAGTGTAATCCCTCGCAAGTGCGTGCTCTAATTTTCGAAAACTAGTTCGTGCCGGATACTGAGTGATAATCATAGACATCGCCGCTTATGATAACCTTCTTCGGGTAGCTTCCAAATCATTTATCATCTGTGATTTCATTAGTAATTATATCTCACATCCTCAGGTACCATGTGTCAAAGATTTTATAATATCACTTCTCCATTTAAGGAATTCACTTCCAAAATCCTCTGGTTGCGCATAACATCACAACTGTAATTCATCGGATCATTTGTTGCGATTGGGTTAGCGTAGCTAACCAGTACTAGCGTATTGGTCCAACAGTGCAAAAACACAAGTAGTATTAAAATACCATAAACTATTTGAGAAGAAAGTTTTACCATTCCTTACTGATTAAATGAATCGTCATTGATTTTCATCTTTGTCCCTAAGAGTTTCCATGATGGGCCCGAGTGATGATTGACAATGAACCCATAGGAGAGCCTTATAGAGAAATATCTACATGACTGCATGCCTAACCAGAGGTTTATTTATCTTGATATGCTGCCCCTTTATGGATTGATTTATCAAGCAATAATAACTGTGCAATCATGAGGGAGCTCTGAGAGTCCTGATAGTTACTAAAGTCCAGGATAATCAGCTTTTAACAAGCTCAACTAGTCCAATCTCACAGCAGCAAGTGGTCAGTTTATCATCAGTTGTTCTCAGTTATGTGTTCAACTCAAAATGTTTTAAAACACTTGCTAGCCAGAGCAACAAGTCACCATGGACTTCACCAATTCTAAATAGCTGTGTCACTCAGAATTATGGCTTCCGCTTGTTCTATCGTACATTTTAAGGATTTGCGGAGACTATAACTTGATTGTAAACAGCCATTAATTCCACCAAGTTTCATCAACTCCCTTTTCATCACTTGAATCTACTAGAATGTCGCAAAGAGCAACAAAATTTTCTGTAAGTACCTATCTAGCTGTAGTTTTATACGTTTCATACAATTTTTATTTTGAACCTTGGACATCTCCATAACCATCATCCATGCACAGTGAACTCAATTTTCAAATGATACATCTCATTTCAGCACTGTTTGCTAGGTTTAACAATTCTGTCTTCAAGAGATCTCATATTTTAAATCTTAATAGTGGTGTCAAAATAATCTTTACTCTTCCATTCAGTTTTATGCTGCATGCAAATTTTTCTTTGTATACCTGCACTTTCATCCCAATTAAAATATCTAAGTCGGTGTTTCAGTTACAAATTTTCATGCGCCTTTTCCTGTTTCTTTGTGTAAAGTTCTTATTCTCTCAGATTCATTTCCCTAGATACCGCAGTCTTGCTGGGTATGTATTTTTACATGTTAGAGCTGAGGCGGTTGAAATCAAGAACATTTTCCATTATATTTTTCCCCTCTTAAAAGCAAATCATGAAAAATCTCCGTGTTGCTTTCTACTCAACAGCCCATTGTTTCAGTAGAGCCAGCCTCAATGAAGCTAAAATCCTTCTCATATTATACTCTTCGGGGTTCTTCTTTCCCCTATAATATTTGTGCAAACTTCCTTCATAGTCTTGCGAAAAAATAAGTGGCAAATTAATTAATTCTTAAGTGTAAGTAGTTGAAATCAGAATTTAAAATTCTTTAATGGATAGTGAGCAGGCCAAAGTTCAAACTGCTGTCATGGAGAAATCTTCTCTGTTCTTATGGGGCTCGTAGACAATTTATCGTTAGATGGAAGTATATGTTGTTTTAAAATTATTTCTTAACTTATTTAACTTCATTCACAATTTTACATATTTTGTATGCTCCATTTTAGAAATTTTTAAATTTTATCACGGCAATTTAATTATGAATTTTAAATTTTATCACGGTAATATCGTTAGATGGAAGTATATGTTGTTTTAAAATTATTTCTTAACTTATTTAACTTCATTCACAATTTTACGTATTTTGTAAGCTCCATTTTAGAAATTTTTAAATTTTATCACGGCAATTTAATTATGAATTTTAAATTTTATCACGGTAATATCCTCAATATTCTTCTCTCCTCAATTCGTATTCCGTAGTTCTCAATGACTAGCACGAGATTCGCCATCTTTAAAACTATCCCGTGAAGCGTGACCCAAATCGATGGAAAACTCGGTTTTTCACGAAATCGATGGAAATCCAAATCGATAGGTCCGGACCCGTCGATTTGGATTTCCATCGATTCCGGGATTCTGATCAATTTAGGGCCGTATTTCTGCATTTTTGCATCGATTTGTGTCCTATCGATTTGACCGGCCCATAAGCGCAATGCTTTTCTAAATCGATAGCATCCCCAAATCGATCATAATTTCTGTCAGAAATCGATCGTTCATAATCGGCCTGCAGAACTTGCAATGTTTAAAACTAACCCATTCATAGAAACATCTTGGTGTGATGAAAGAAACTTAACTTTTGCTCTGACACGCCTCTCAGACCTACATATAGGTAACTTTTCAGTAGACAACAAGAGTTATAATGCCCAAATGGACCACATTAAGCAGAAAGGATACAAGCCACATTAGCTGATTTCCAAATTTAATAGGGCAATTCAATTTTCTGCATGGAAACGGTTATGCAGATTTTGTTGCAAATTTCAATGAATTTTTTGTTTAGTACCAAGTGAATTTCCTAACATTTTCAAAAGATTTTGCACAAACGTTCTCAGGTAAATTTGGCAGTGGCTGATGTGGCTTGGTTTCTTACTGCTAAAAGCAGTCCAAATCATGATAATTTTCGTAAATTGCAAAAATTCAACTCGTAATTAATGCATGGATTGTCAAATTTAAGGGGGGTCCAAAAACGGCCTTTGTCGCCACCCCTTCTTCATTACATCTTTCATTCTTGTTTGATAGTGCTATTATTGTTACTTAATCTAACGGTATTTTGCAGAATAGCTGGTCGATTCAGAGATGCAGACATTATTACTTTATAATAGGTAGATCTTCGGTACAAAAATGGATGAGAAGTTGACTGAAATGAGTAAGAAAAAGTTTGTGCGCAGTTAGTCCAGATAAATGCACTCAACTTACCCAAGAATTCAACTTGTTGTAATCAGAGGGAACAGCACTCTCGCTAAAATTATCAGGAGTGAATTGAAACAGAACGCAAGTAACAACTGATTCAATTATTGACTGAAACATAAAAGCCAAGGTGAAATTACACAGGGGGAACTAGTGTAGCTGAATAAGTATTATCCGGCATCTTTATTTTCTTAATTTCTTAAAAAATAAAAACTGGAATGTTGTACGCTTAGTTTTTCATCAATAATGTTGTTCTGGCAATTTTTTTATGCTTTTATGAAATCCTCACGTGGTGTGAAGTTTCAATAGACCTGTTGCAGATTTCAACTTTAGTATAACTAAGAGTTGTTTTGTACAAAAACAGGCTTAAAAATTTCAATGAACATTAAAAAAGTTTAAAACTCACTCCTGAGCTTGCAATCTGTGTAACCTGCACTTTTTATAGCTTTAGTTTTACAGATGAGTCACCTCATGTCCGTATTTCCATACAAGACTAAAAGTGGACAACACTGTAACTTTCTGCCTGTGGTAACTCCAGATTCTCGCCATTGATTTAAATTTTTTCAGGTAAAGCAGGTGCATTGAAAAGGCAAACTGACAGCCGTTATGCACTTTGATGGAGCGCATCAGGCAGTCATAGGTGGGTAGAGTCCGGCTAAGCGTTGCTACACACTGGTAGCATTCAAACGCAATCCTTAACTGCCCTCAACTGGAGTGGCAGTCTGTTGGTGGCGCTGCAACAAACCATTTTTGATGCACCTGCCTGGACCAAACCCTTTAGCCTTCTCTCTAGCAAACATGATTTTTATATAAATTATCATCTTATCATTTTATCATAGAGGATTTTTATTAAATTGAATTTTATAGTATTAAATTTATAGAACTGAAATTTTCATGAATTTTTTTAAATCTGAGGTCTTCGAAATTATTTAATTTTTAAAGAAGAAGAAGAATAATAAAGAAAAACCTTCCGATCTGTAGTTAGAGGAGAAGGTTAGGATAAACACACATACAAGTTTTTGAAAATCCATCTGGTAGATCCTGAGAAAGTGTACCTTAAGGTAAAAAAACGTTGTTTTGAGAGGAACCTGTTCGAAGTTCTGAACAAACAGAAGGATTGCATCAATCCGAGAGTCACAAATTGTTTCATAGCTTATTTAATAGTGATCAAATGTTAAAAACTTGGTTTTGAATTACAGCTGAGGCTATGTGCAATTCGATTAGAAAATAAAATGAAAAACATTTTTTTTAAAAACAAATTACTAATGACTCCTCTTAAAATAATGCTGAAATAACCCTAAAAAAAACAGAGCATTTCACAACATAGAAGAATTATTGATGCACAAAAACATCTCAAAATAGATAATACCTCTGATTCTGAATGTTTTGACAAAAATTCCTCAAAAGATAGGTGCAAATCGTCTCCGGAGGGAGCCTGGCTCTGAAAAAAAAAGTTCGAGAGATTTTAATATTTCAGGTGACTTCATTAATATCATTTCTCTGTATCCAGAAAAAACAAATACTTTTTTGTCTAAGGCTTGGCTTTGGTTCAAGATTAAGGCTGTAAAGTGTAATTTCCGATATAATATATCTTGTGATGTAAGGTACAGCTCACAAGGTTTTATAAAAATTTGAAAGTAAAATTACAACTACTCTAGGGGACTTCAGTTAAAAGAAATTTTTTTTCCCAAGATCATTGAGCTACCCTAATCCAATCCCAAAAGTTTCAAAAAAGAGAGGAAAAAACGAAACTATTCCTATTGTGATTGAGAAATAGATGGATCGATATCTTGCAATCACTATAATAAGGAATTTCGTTTCACTAAAAGAGGTCATCTAATTCACACCAAACTATGTGTTACAATCACTGCCTCCCATTCAGGGCCGGACTGGCTAAGGCAGCTAGGCAGCGATCGCTGCCTAAGAATTGTCGGCTCAAGGGCCCCGACGGGGCCCCTGAGCCGACAATTCCTGAATTTATTCTTCAATAAATTAAATGAATCTATGAAAAAGTGAAAAATCATTGAAAACAAATCCTTGAATTTATTCTTCAATAAATGAAATGAGTCCTTGAAAAACCCTCGTTTTTTTCAGTCCTTGAGGGTTTAACTCATAACACCTTCTCTGAGGCCCCTACGGCCGGAAAAAGGTAACTTCAGGGGCCCCTGAAAGGGCCCCTCAGCGATCGAAAAATATGAGCTTCAAGGGCCCTGGAGCGGCCCTCGAAGCTATATTTTCCCGGCCTCTAAGGGTTTTTTACTTTAAACAGCATGACTCTTTCTCTGAGACCCCTATAGCCCGAAGAAGGTCACTTCTGGGGCCCTTGAAAATATGTCAGCAGGGACCCCTGACCCTGGGCTCGAAAAAAAGAGTTTCACTTTCAGGGGCCCTGCCGGGTCTCGAAAGCTCTTTTTTCCGGTCTTTGAAGGTTACTCACTTTAAGATGACTTCTTTTTGGAGGCGCCCCTACTGGCCCTGCAGCCGGGAGAAGGTAACTTCAGGGGCGGGGCCTCTGAAAAGATACCAGCAGAGGCCCCTGCGTAAAGTTTGAGGAGGTTATGTGCTTCTTTATCAACAAGAGGAATCGCCGAATTTTTCAAAAAATATCTAAAAAATTGGTGACATTTTCAGAGGCGCTATTTATCAAATTTCAATGCGAAAAGAGCCTAAAACTTCTATTTTCAGGGGTTAAATTTTCAAAATTTTCCGGGGGAGGACCCCCGGACCCCCCTCCATCCCTGGGGGGCAACCCCCTAGACCCCCCATAGGGGCCCAGTTTTTACGTCAGGGGCCCCAAAATCCTAGTAGCTGCCTAACTTTTTTTACGCCAGTCTGACTCTGCTCCCATTTCTTAAAAATGTCACTAGGGCGATACTTTTTCTTGGAAGATGAATTGTTGGTTAAAGAGTAATCCTAATATTTGAAAACCTATCGAAATAAATAAAAAACCTCTTAAAAATAGCAATGTCAACACTTTCTTTTGTTTACTGAGAAAATGACTATTACAAGAGCCTTTGAAGGAAGTAAAAGATTCCATAAACTACCTAAGTCCACGTATTTATTTTACTTTGAATGACAATTTAAAATACAGTTAAAATTCAATGAAAGTAAAACTTACTAGTATTCGGAGACAAGGATATTTTGATACAATCCGCCACATCCTCTCACAGGATTCGAAACAGTACAAAAGCCTCTTATGGAGGTCTTCAAAACCTATTGACTGGAACAAAAAGGGTAAAAAATATTAAAAAAATAAGTTGTATAAGTAATGCTCATAAAATGCTTTATATTGCAATGACGATATGCTGCTAAGATGCACTAAAAGGATAGACACCTTAAAAAAGGATGATAAATCGGTCATTCTCGAAAAGACTTAAGCACCAATATATCAAAAACTGAGTTACTGGCGGTTTAGTATTCCTTAGGTACAGAGGCTTTTTGTAACATGTGACTAGCAGGGGGGCAGAATTTCAAGGCCTCAAAAAACATCTGAAAAATTAAGTCATTTTTAAAAGGACTCAAATGCCATACGCTATTTGCCGCCTTGCTGGGTAAGCATGTTTCCTGCATTTCTGACCACAAAGAATATTGTTCATTACATTAGAGGGTCATACCATTAATGATGCCCATAGTGGAAGAATCGAAAATTTTGGCTCCGAGATTTCTGAGAAGTACTCCAAAGCGTCATCACAATCATTCAGTTTCTTATGCAAAATCTATTACAAGTAGGTTAAGGATAATAATCACGACTTGAGTTGCCATAAAAATTCTCGTTCAATTTAAAATGATATACTTACATTCCATAAACTGAGAAAAATATTATGAAGGAAGGACAGTGTAAAATACAAAGCATTATTTAACCTCAGACTTTCAGGTTCAGAAGATCTCTCATCATCTTTCAACTACCATTTTATAAGATATATTAAGATAAGATTTTTTTTTTAAAATTTAAGAAAGTATTAGTTTAAATAAATAATTAAATTGAAAACCCCTGGAGATATCATAACTCCGAACTCGACCTTGGAAACAAACTTTGGATGCACCCTGAGTAAGGAGAAGAGGAAGTTACTACTCAACAAAAGGATACAACTGGTGGCAATCCTAGAATCCCGTACCAGGTAGACAGGTCAATGGAGAAACTATCAGGCATCTGAAAAAGAGGAAGTTAGATTTTAAGCAGTTTTTCGCTAACTAAAGTACATAAAGGTGGTCAAACTTAGTATTGCTTTATAATCATAACATTAGACTTCGATTTGGATATATTTTTTGTAGTGTAATAGTGATCAATCGCTACAAAAATAATCTTGATACTTCTTTACGTTCTGGTCAGAAATTGACATTTAACTAAAAAATCCCATTGAAAATGGCTACTTTTTGCTTCTAGATCCAGTACGACAGCAATATAACCCCCTGGAAAATCTGAAAACTGACTAAAACCAATGATTTCCTTAAAATATTTTCTACTGTCAAAAAAACCCTAGGATTACAGAAATCCTGAGTGGATTGAATTTTAGTTTAGTGTTAGCTTTAGTCTGTCAAGTTAGTGTTGAGATGGTGTTGGTATTAGTGTCCAGATCTGATTTTGGCCACAGAGGGGAGCTGATTTTGGCTCTTAACGACTCTTTCTTTTTAAGCTTGTCTTATGTTGGAGAGAAAAAGTTTTATTCCATTTACTCATCTCTTCAAGGCTGGCAAGTTTGAATTGTTTTAATGTAAGAAAAAAACTTTAATCTCTCATTAATGATGCATCAAGTCGGAGAAAACTATAGTCCCAAAAAGATCTGCCGACCGATCTAGAAAATTTAGAGACAGACAGACACTATTTTTTTATTTTTTTTCTTCAAGGAAAAAAGAGCAAATATTTTTCCTATATAATAGTTAATAAACCACGCACGAAGATACTCACAACAGACATAGATAAAGATGATTGAGAAAATATGGACACTGCATGTCCTTTCAAATGAAGCCAAGCACCATGTTGATTGCACAATTGTCGTAATGATTGCAAACTATCACATTGACCACTCACCCTCCAACCTTGAAAAAAAAGGTACATATTTTTATTCCTTCATCCTGACTAAAAGTTGAGAAAAAAAGCAGAAGTCTGAAGAAATCGTTTTGAATCAACTCAATTTTAAATCATTTTCCCTCCCTATGGAGGCCCGACCTCAACTTTTTTTTCAAAAGCAAATACCTGTTTTGTGACGCATCGTTAGAAAGAGGATAATGAAAGAACATTCTCTGCTCAAACCAGAAATGATTACATCAAACCATTTCAAAATGACTGCTGGTTAAGTAAAGTTCAAAAAGTCCAAGCTAGGCTATTTTCCCACAACGGTCATTTCACTTACAAAAAACAATTCTGACATACGATTTGACAAGTACTCTCCGCTCTCTCAAGTCCTTTATTCCTCCCTTGTTACTCAGGTGAACATTTGCTTTAAATTTTTAGGATTTGCGTTAAGTTTTAAAACGTGGATAGATAATAAATGCACAAACCTGTATCGGCTAAAACCAGGAAAGGAGATTTATTTGCAACTTTATCTTCTTCCATGAGTGATGCAAGAGCATCTGTATTCATTTTTTGCTCAAACTCGATGGTTGCATCACTAGGAACAGTTCTTACACTTTTAAGGGGTAAACCAAGCTGAAAAATGAAAGTATAAAAAAGATTGTATGACAGTAATTTTCAGGGTATGCATGTGCACATACATTTTAAACGGAGGAAATGCTAAATGACAAGTTGGGCTGGATGGATATGATACATGAAGTGAAATATGTATAAACAGAAGATGTCAAGTTTTTAAAATTTGAGAAAATTGCGTTCAAAGTTTTCAAAGCTGTGTATTTTGATGTCCTAACAGGGTATAGGGTTTGGTCCAGGAATTTATGGTAGAACAGAACAAATCCTTTTCTGAAAAATGAGTTTCAGACATTTAAAGAAGCGAAAGTCAATTGAGATACATTAATGTAAAAAAAAAAAAAAAAAAAAAAAAAAAAATCAGCTGTTTTTATGGAGAACTTTTTTTTCAGGCACAAAATTAACTACATAGCTGATGTAAAAGAGGAAGAACGATTGATATGAGTCAAATTATGATTAATGTTGAGTTTTTCGATAATTTAAAAAAAAAAAATAAATAATTGATAACTTCTGAATAATATATAAGGGACAAATTATATTATAAGTCTTCTAAATTAACTTATTGACTTATGATTTAATTTGACCCTGCCGGGCCAGGAATTACGATTTAATTTGGCAAAAATCAGTAACTTTGAACACTTCAAAATAATCCAGAAATTCTTTCTCCAAGGGTGAAAAATTGATACAATACAACATTTGAGAAAAATGGTGAAAACTTTGAACACAATGATTTTTTTATTGTGGTTTATAGCTGTCAAAGTCGCTAAAATCACAAAGTCAGCAAAAATCAGCAAAAATCAGAAAATGTTGAGGTTATTTCACATGCAAACGCACAGTAATATGAAAATACCGTAACAAAACAAGAAATTACCATACACAATAAGTCATAGGGTGACCACACTACCCATATAAACATTGATGAGGACGCAATCTACCGGAGAATCGCTGAAATAATGGAAACGATCGACGGACGGCTCTGAGCCGTCTCTTCAGATCTGGCCCAGTGCAGCGCGGACGGCTGGGAGCCGTCAGTTTAAGTCAATGGGTTAAGGAGAAAATTTAAGAGGGTGCCATCTCCCAAACACTTACATGCAACATGTCTCATTCACTTTTATTACTTTTGTAATGTGCTTATTATGTACAATCCTTAGGGAGATTAATGAGCTTTAGCGAGTTATTTAGATGAACAACGAATTTTGATATCCGCTGTTTTTAGATCTACAGCGGTTTTTTATTCATATCATGATGGAAAATTATGCTATAAGTCTGGAACTTGGTACCAACAATCTCCTAGGTTTGCCGATTAAAAAAAAAGTTTCCTTTAAAATTAGTGGGATACTTGATATCCGCTGTTCATACAGACTCGGCTTCATATACATACTTAAACGATGAGCGAAAGAGCTCTCATCATCTGGGGCTTAATGAGGGAGCTACAACAGTTGAAAAAGAGGGCATTACATCATGACAACTTCATTGCAGACATTCCTTTGTTGTGATTTTTCCCTCCACATCCATTACGGCAAAGGCTGCGTTGTGAAAGCAGGGATCTTCTGTTCCATTCTCATTTCGTCTTGCAAATAGTGTTGGATTTGCAGCAATGAACCAGAGGACACGGTGCGGATTTAAGAATTCTGGTACATGTTCCTCAACCAAAATTTCACAAAAAAAAAAAAAAAAACGATTCTAGCAACAAAAATTACTGAAAAGAACTCCTAGCCAAGATAATAACTTTTTTTATGCATAAATTCAAACTCCCCACTCAGAGAGGAGAAAATAATTTACATACCTAACTTGAATAACACACTCACAATTACTGTGACAGTCTCTGCGATATGAAAATATGTCACTTAGGCTTAGCTACAGCAAATTCTCTACATTTTGAACAACACAGGGTGGGAAAGGAACAATGCTCGATTGAGAAGCCTACAAAAACCGTTGTTGTGCACGATTAATCTGAGGTAGAATGTTGTTTTTCTTGTGACCGAGCAATTGAAATTTCCTATAACCAATGTAAAACAAAAACGCTAGTATCTTGGTTAGGAGTTGATTTCAGTAATTTTCGTTGTGCGAATCATGTTCTACATAAAATTTTGGTTGGGAGACATGGATCAGAATGCTTATAATCATACCGTGTTTACTGTTCCATTGTCTAGGCTATTGAGTCACTTTACAGAATAACCAAAAGCTAGACATCAATTTTTGAGAGTTTGTTCCTTTTAAATACATATATAAAAACGAAGAATCAATCATGTGTTTAAAGTGAGAGGCTTTGGTAAAAAGTGAAATGAGGTGTACATTAGGAAACTTGACTTCTTTTTTTTAATTCTGTACATGCTGATAAAATTGACTCACCGACTGACAGATAGATTGCAAGTATTTGATTGCATCTTCAGAGCTAGCATAGAAAACAGGTGGGCTTTCGACTAAAGCTTCAAAGCCGCACTCTTTGAAAGTTGGATATTTCTGAGAAAGAATAGATCTTGTGAGTTGCACCATAGAATCCTCTGTGGTTATGGCTTCACTCTCTGGGAACCTAGTTCGGAAAGAAATGAAAAACTTATTGTATTGCTATTCAAAGAAAGTACTTACCCTCAAAAACAAAAAAATAAAACGGGAAATATCATTTAAAATGCTAAAAGTTCCTGTGAGAGCCTGTGGTGGCGCCGATTCGCATAACGAGTCGCTTGAGTGTGCGAGAGGGGCAGGCGGGTTACTCGTGTGTACGAGAGGGACTGAGAGACAGAAAATTGCCTGGCAGGAACGGGCGATATCTTCCCAACAAAGGGGTCAAACATCACATCCCCCCGAGCCCCTCTCAGAGCGGTTATACCCTCAATTGCTCTTTTGGTGGCGCCGACAGCCTAGGGAGTTGCTTTTTGTTTCCCAAATTTTTAAGTGATGATCTTCTTTTAGCTTCTTATGTAAAAATTGCCACTTTTTTGGAAAAACTGTGAATTTAACCTGGATGCAAAAACGCAACATAAATAAAACTAAGTAAAATCTAAATTAATAAATTAAACACACAAAACAACCGAAATAAAAGCTGACAGATTCTAAGGCACTTCAATCCTTTTTCACTGTAGATTTGGACCAGAAAATTCTGGGATTCTGATATTGGAATCCCCTCTATGAGACAAGACAGGCACCCCAAAATGCATTGGCTTTAATTTCATTATAATTTTGTGAGTTGAAACCATTACTTAGTTTTGATTCTACAAATTTTTATTTTGCAATTATGCTTCAATTTTACACTTCCACTTAGTTACGTATGCACTTTAAGTTTTTTAGGGTTTCCATTGTTAAACCTCCATGATACATAAAAAGCGCAATTTTTAAAATATGGCACACGGGCTGTCTCATTTGTAAAACTTGTTTTCCACCCCTACTCAGTATTGCCTGTGCGCAATCGGGACCTGCCAATGGCATGGTCGAGAAACTACACCCATATACAAAGCAGCGGATGCAAAAAAGTAGAAACAATGAGAATAACTCTTTGCAGTGACTAAAACTCTCAATTTTTACGAAAAATAGGTTTTTCTCGGCTAAGTCTCTTGAACAATGTGGGCTTGTCAGAAAGCTCTAAACTTGAAAATGTCCTTGCTCTTTAAAAATCAGCTGATAATAAAATACAGATAGAATTCAGCAAGATACCTGAAGACAGCGGACAGCCATTTAGAGACTGAGGAAGACAATTCTTTATTTAAAAGAATGAGATGAGAGAGATCTAATGCAGATAGGTAAGTTGCAACACTTTGCCAGATAACGGCTGTGCAGCTGGAGGAATCAAGGCTGGGTAAGATAACAGGGGAGGCGACGGTCTCTGAATCTGGCCCTTCTTCATATTGGTGAGATATGAGCTCCTGTAAAAATTAGTAAAATCAGAATAACTCTACTATTTCAAAGGAAGGAGAATGATAAACGGTGCAAGTGAATACCGAATAGGTATAAAATACAAAAAAACAAAACAAATGCAAAATGCGAGGGACTATAATTTTGGAAGAATATAAAGAGCATGATGCAACAATGACATTTTTTGGCCTCTACAAATTGACTTTTCGTGACAATCGGCCCAGAACTGTCTTTTCCGGAGCCTATTTATCAATTTAGGGACCTAGCATTTTATCGAGGGAGGTTCTGTCCCCCAAATTCAGGGGTCAGTAGGATGGGCTGATTTTGACCTTTTTGGTATCGACTCGGGTTCAAATTTTCTGTACTTTCTGATTCTGATAAGATAATTTCACAATTGTGATGGAAATCTTGGTTTTCATAGTCAGGACCCCCATTTAACAATGATGAGATTTAAATTCCTTGAGACCAGTGCCATACTTGCCCCAGTGGCCCTTTACTTCATCAAAACTAAAATAACAAAAAAAAAAGCTTGGTACAGGTGGTCTGAAACACCTTGTGCATATTACACACTGCATTAAATCAACCAATTGACAAAATGAAGCAAATGTGGAGGTGAGACCTGAATAATTTAATTTTTTAAATTTTTCTCCGGTGGGATACAGACTGATAAGTAAGATATTCTGGGTTAAAGCTTGCAAACTTTTCTTTGACAAAATGACAAACATGGAAAATAAAGGGAAAATTGAGTGCCTGTAGCTAATACCTAATTATCATGTTTGCACAGTTGCTACACCTCAAGCAATAAAAGCAATTCTATCTACAGATGTCAAAGCTTAGCGTGAGCAAACTGCTTCACAGAATCACCGACAGATGCTGTAGTTGAAGACTTACTCTATTCCACATAAGGAACATTAAAAAAAAGTGAAGGGAGGGAGAGGGGTCTAGATTTTGAATTCTTTGAGAATAAATTACAGTGATGTCCAGAGGTTGGTTGGTACCTCAAAGGAGTACACAGAATGAAGGGAAAGAATGGAATAACATGATCTAGTTTATATGGAAACTTTATTCACCCTCGCTGTCAAATCTACAACAGCTGGAACTAATCTTACTTTGACAGTGGGGATCTCCAAGCGAGGAGTGGGTAGATGTATCAAGGTTGATACCATCTGAGATAACACTGGCATAACACAGGGCATGACAGAATGCTTCTAATTTCAAACTCATTGCTCCATATCAAGACAATTAGCACATGACTCATTGAGATTTGATAAGTTATATATTACTTACAGCATACAGCATTTAATAGATCACCTCAGTTGAGGAGGTAAAATATTCAAATACAATGAAAAACACAATAACAAACATCTAACACCTATCAATTTTGCTCATGGATGCTGTGAGTTTTCTTACACAACATGAGCTAGACCCTCTTTTAGATAAGTTTATTGTTCATATTTACAAGCGTAGATTCTGTGGGTAACTGTTACCTGCACAAGGAAATGAAAAGGGTAGACTTACTGAGATAGGGTCTGTCATTCTTTTATGCAAAATGGGCTCCCAATAAAGAATTACTACATCGGTGTTTTTTACTTGGTCTGTTAGCATCTCACTGCAATCTTCTTCAGTACTTCTTGTAGTCGATTACTGACACTAAACTAACTAACAAATGTATGATGAATTATGCTGAATTTTTAGGTGCTCTCTTAAGCTCAACATGCAGAAACTTACCCGCAGCGAGACGATTATTTCCTCTTTTGATTTTCGCTCTGATGATAGAACTAATTTTTCATTGGAATCCGATGGTTTTTTACTGCGCAGAATAGGCTCTTCAAACCTGCTGATAATTTGCGATACTTGCAAATCTACCTCAGATGTGGGAACCTCCATGACCTGTAATAGAATAATATGGAAAGAAAAAGAACTTATTTCAAAAGTGGAAAGAACAAATCATCAGCATAAAGATTGAAAAAAAAAGATTCAAATGTTTAATATTCATACTTAAAAGAGAACAGACTCCATACAATGCAATGATATGATCAGATTAACTACTTAAAAGAGAACAGACTCTATATAATGCAATGATATGATCAGATTAACTTCATGTCAATTATTTTTTTTTTTTTTTTTTTTTTTTTTTTTTGGTGGGGTGTGTCTTTAACCCTCACGAGTGTATCAAAATGAGCTCGCTCATATTGTATCGCTTCCGATTTTGAATCCTGACCTCTCAGTAGATGTAAATGAGTAGCAAAATTAATGAAAAATAATAAGTATAAGGTGGAAAGCTCACCTCATTTACAAAAACTGAGAAATCTAGCAAAATCTTCTGCTCTACAATTATGCCGGACTGGTTCTACTAAACTGGAAAAAGGTTTGCGATTTACTCACCGGCTAACACTACTCACTCGTGAGGTTGACACTGCGGCACCGTCTTCTGACATTACATAGGAGGAATTTTTACTTGGTTCTTTTCTAATTTCTATTTTTTCAAAATCTTTGTTTTTACTAATAATTATGTTTTTTATAAAAATTTGTCCAGTGTTCCATTTACTTTTACCTTCAAGCATTTTGTCTAAGAAATTGTTTTTGCTTATTTTTTCTTTGAATTTTATTTCAACTTCTTCTCGGTCTTTTTTAAATCTATTACAATTAAAGAAGACGTGTTCCGGGGAACTTCATGTCAATGGTGTAACTGATAAAACTTTTGGCTGTCCTTTCAACCTTTCAGATTTTCTGTCATGTTCACTGATTTGGGGGAAAATCTGTCATTACTGTTGCACAATGCACAAAATACAATGTGATTTTCCTTCAGCCGCGCAACTCCAAAAATTTCATGGAAAAATACCGTGGAACATTCTCTTGGAAGTAGAAAATGTGAACAGAGACTTTGGAACTTAACGATTGAGATATAAACTCCATGGCTTAAACTAAAGACCAAACCTTGTATCTTCATAGTAGTTTTTCAAAATTTTCACCCTCATTTCATTTTTTAAAAGGGAAACATGCCAGCATTATCAGTCAGAAGTTTCTCAGAGGATTCTCAAAACAGAGTAGAAACATCAACAATTTTTCAAGAAATTCCTTTCATTAATTTTTAAGAGGTAAATTGTGATTGGAAGCAGTAGAGAAGTAAATTAAAAAAAAAACTCCACTAACAGTAGACACAACCATGGTTGGAAAGTTTCTACACCCGTAGCCCTTCTCACAACTGGTAAAGGAATCCGGAGCTTAAATTTCCGTATCTCTTCCATTTCTTTCTTCTCTTTTCTCTTTTTCTCTTATCAGACCGGCCCTCTGTGATAGACCGACCTACCAAGTTAAATCCCAGCAGTCCTATGTAGCCAACCCGGGCCTGACAATCAAATCTGCTTTTTTCTAAATTGATGTGATATACATACACCAGTTCGGCAATGCCAAGGGCCCACGGTCAATCAATGTAACCTTTAAGGACCACTAGCCAAATTACAAATTTAAGGACTTGTATGTATGTTACCTCATCAAAATTTTTGGTAGGTACTTGCTCTGCACAACAAAAGTTATAGAAATTAACGCCAAACAAAGATAAAAATGTTTCTGTGTAGTCTTTACACAAATGGATACAAAAAAAAATGAATTCTTCACTCTCAAGAAAACCCGCAGTCCACACATATCAAGTTGCGTGCTACAACTGTTTCGGTACGCCCATTAATCAGGCTAGTTCCTCATTCCGTGTCCTATGATACTCCGAGTGCAAAAACAATATGCGACAGCTGAGCCAAAACACCGAGATTAAGGTTGCCATTCTTCATACTGGAGAGACTGTTATGGCTGTGTTAAGCGTGCAATTGAACCAGAAGATAAGGGTTTCCATAAAAACAGAAATTTTTAATTTGTACATCATAAAACGTTAATTTCTTGCTTAGGAGATACTTTCAGTGATTTTAGTTGCACAAATTGTGTCCTACATGCAATTTTGATGAGATAAAATAAATCATAATTCTCAGACTTGTACCCTGCCTGGTGATTAATTATACACTCAAGACTTGAAGATAGAGAGACATGAAATTGACATTAGCTTGATCATAGGGAGCAGTAGGGTACAAAAAACAAAGAGATCAAAGCATAAAAGTTATGATCCTCCGATAATGATGGGAGGATTCAAGTTGCACTGCCAAACTATCTCGTCTCGTCCACGTAGTAAGTTTACGTCGTAACTTACCTACATCAGCTTTCCCTAGTGTTGCTAACAAAGCAATTTCGAACAAGAATTAACGAAAATGAAAAGTATGTGCAAAAGGAAAGACGGGAAATTGAAATGACGCGAGGATAATCCTCTCTCGCTCACTGAAATCGAAAATTGTTTCAAAGTTCGAACTGCCAAACAACGACGGCACACTTTTTCACTGAAATAGTTAGTTACTAACCTAACCTAAATAAACATTGCGCTTTGGTGATTGCATAGAGTACAATAGAGTTGAGGGCTTGAGATAAAAAGGAGAAGCCCTCGGCGCGGCGCGGCGGTCGGCATGTAACACATGTAAGCGCCAACAAGATTGCATGAATACTCCACGCATTGCGTCAAACACAGTGCGGCCAGCAGCGGTCGACGTGAAACGCATAGCGCCTACAAGACTGCATGAATACTTCACGCATTGCGTCAAACACAGTGCGATCAGCCCGGCGCGCAGCGGTGGAAGTTAAAATAATTAAACCACATATATGTTTGTTTTTTCATAATTTTTTGGTTCATTTCTTATAAATGGAGGACCTTGTCCACACAGAGATATGTTTACGGAACTTAACATTCGCGCAAAGTTCCGTGAAATTTTGCTAGTTGTGTTGACAGGACTTTCGCAAAAAATGTATCCAATACGAGTAGGTAAACGCGTCTTATGCACCCCTCCCCCTCCGGCACGTTCACTTGATAGTTTTTATTGTGGTTTCAAAACAAATGAGAAGGGGGCGGCAAAATACAGGCGGCCCATGGGCGGAGGTAAATCCAGCCCTGCCTACAACTAAACCTATTATTTAGCGTGGAATCCGAAGTCAAAACATACCCTTCATGTTTGGAAATCGTGAGAAACAGGGATAAACTAGAGTAGGATACCTATACCCCCTAGGTGCCCCTAAGCCAATTAGGGTTTATTTGGGGNGGGGGGGGGGGGCTGAAAATAAATTCATTGAATTCCTTAGGGTCGATTTAACCCCTGGAGCCTCTTACCATACGATGCATATAACTCACTTTTGGGCCATTCTCGACGTACAGATAGACAGACGGGTGGTCTGAACTACCCCATGCCTGTACCCCAGTGGCTGGTAAAGAACACTCAGAGATAGAAAAGAAAAGTTCACGATTTGAAATACCGTTTTAATTTTTTCTACAATAATTTAAACAGGGATTGTGATTTCTTCAAGACAGGTGAAAATTGACCTCTGACCTACCATAGGTTACTATGTGTTAAAAATTGATACATTGATCTGTGGCAAAATTCTTAAGTTTTGACAATCTTTCCAATGAAGTACCTATTGCAGGGTTAGGACATTACCTACTATATGAAAAAAAGTTGGGGGGCCCCTATCCACCATAAGAAGGGGTAAAATGTGCCCCCCCCCCCCCGAAGATGATCCCCCTTTAGATAAAAATATTCCCAAAGTTTCGTTTATTTTCTTATCTCGAAGGTTTCTACAGGGGAACTATTGAACTATTGGAACACCCAGTATATGGGCCAATGTTGCAAAAATTCAATTCACTTACATTTTATGAATGAAGAATGGGAATTGTGGTTCAAAACACAGTCACACACATTAGGCACATCGTAAGTATTTTGCTTACATGCCTAAGTTAAGCCTAACAGCTGCCACTCAAAATTTAGAGAAAATTTAGAGACGTAGAAGAAACGTTAAAAGAGCGGTAGGAACCTTGAGAGAATGTTAGAAATCAGAAGTGAGACAAACACTTTTGTCTTGCAAGAATATGGGAAATAGGTACTACTTGTAAGCATGTGAAAGAAGTATTAACAATAAAATTTAAATTAAGCAGGTTAATTTATTTTTCAAAATAAAATATTTAACTATGTACAGTGAATGGTACTTGAGCACCTACAAATAAGATCATTTAAGCACGAGAAGTTGTGTATACAAATTATCGAGGAAAGGTAGATAGCTAACTTATTACTGACACATGGCTTACAAAATGAAAAATTGCTAATCTTTAGAAATGATTGAAAGTTCTCACATACAATTGTTATCAGACAGAGACATTCAGTTCAATATGAGTCAATTGTATCTGAGCTCCAATGATCAAAACTTTAAAAAAAAAACTAGGTATATGGTACATACATTCATTTTTAAGTGGGATAGCTACACGTGAGTACAAAAGTTAATAATGAGCATTGCTTGATAAATAACTTTAAAAAATGTCTTTACAAGGATTTTGGTGGGACGACAATGATAATGATGATTTATCTCATAATGCCTGCACTTTCAAAGAATCTGTAACAACTTACCCGAGCATTTGAAAGAAATTTCCTTTTTTAACCATCATTCTCAAAGTTCTTTCGGTTTTTTGCTTAATTTTTCAGAAAATATTCTGACTAGGGATGTATGAATTAATTTTGAGTGACTTACTGGACTTTAAAAGAGAAATTGTACCAGAAAGAGACTTGATCAAGAATACTTCAAAATCTACACCTGAGAATCAGCTCAATTTATAGTCAACGAATGGTTGTTCGATTAATAGCTAGAGTTCACTTGAAAAATTAAATTTCATAAATTAAGATAGGAAGAAGGAAAAAATGGACAGACAGAAATGAAATGATAAAACAATATGAGGAACGAGCAAACAGAGTACATACTGTTGATTAAATTAATTTCATTGATCAAGGGAGTACTAAGAAGTAACTGCTAAGTTATGATCAGCTTGTTGAATGTTTATGAGGAAAAATTTCATTTCTAAATACTGCTCTTTGGAAGGAAAATCTCGATCAACATTCGGACAGCTTGTAAACTTCCAGTACAAGCATAGGTGGAAAATTGCACATTAATATGATACTCTGAATTTCACTGTATATTTTGGACTTGTTTATGCTCAGGATTGTAAGTGTTTACATAAAACTGAGAGATTCGTAAGTCAAACGATCAAAACTTTTCAAATTCTGTTGGAGATAAAAATTTCTATTGGAATTTTTGGAAATATAAAACATAACTTTAGGTTGTAGCACTGAAACTTAACTGTTAATATATTTTGTTTTCCTTCGAGAAAAGAAATTATTATTGGTACAAATTTTGTCTGAGTTATCAAAAGTAAAAGCTGAAAGTTGTAGAAGTCGCCATTCAGTCAGGTGTTTTTTTCTACTTTTAAAGCTTGCCTGATTATTCATCTGCATCCATAAATATAGACATTAACAAAACAATGAAAAGTTGTTGAGGACAAGTAAAATAAAATTAGGATCATCCAGGGGAAAATAGACGTTACATAGAAGAAGAACCATACCTATTACAAGCCTTCAGATGGTACAGTTTAATATCTTTCATTTTTACCATGAATTTTGTTTAAATTATGAAAAAACACAACAAAACTAAGATAAAATATGAGAGAATGGAGACTTAGCTTGAAGTACAGAGGTACCTTCTTTTTAAATTTTAGATAGCCTAACTTGTAAATTTTTGATAAGCTTCGTAAGACTTTAATTTTGCAACTTGTGATTTTCTTTACTAAAATCACACGAGCTAATATGACTAGAAAAATGTTTGTAAGTCTCTTCAAACAATTTAACTGTTTGTTTAAGAATTTGTAAGAAAAAGGAGGAAATTTCGGTATTGAAACCAAAGTACCAACCAAAAACGTTTGGAATCATAATTAGAGTGATGTCTTGATTCTGTATGGTTGAACGGTTTCTTTTTCAAAGTATTTTCCGAAGGCAATACTAGCACTTTTTTTCCGAAGGAAATACACTACTGCATTCTTCACTGTTATTGAACCTGGACTAAGGGCCATGTAATGAGCATCAAATATGAGTCACAGATTACAAAATTGGTAAGAATAAAGAAGAAAGGTCACACCTTTACTTTAAATAATCTGAAATAACGGCTAGATTAGAGTCTTGAAGCACTTTAACGAAGAGACAATAAGTAATTTAGCTGGAGACACTGGACAGTATCCGAGTGCATAACTAAATAAATTGGCTGAACAAAATAAACAGAAAAAAAATAATTATAGTGATAATAAGGAAATAATATGGTATTCACTATGATAACAATACAAGAATATTTGTAGTTGTAATCCAAAAATGGGACAGTGCAAAAGGTTGTAAGTGACAGTTGCATATTTGGTTCAAATCTGTGACAAAAACCTTCTTTTTGCAACAAAACTTTACTAAAAAAAAAAAACCTTTTTTTGGTTGCAATTGCTGAAATTAAGGGTTAATTTTGCATTGATAATCTCAAACGAGACTCAGAAATATTCATACGAACATACTTACAGACTTTTTAAACGAAAATGTGAATGTAAGAGGGAGTGCATTCAATGTGTACTAAGTCCTTAATGAAGAGATTCCCAGGAAAAAAAAAAAGTTGCGCTTAAAATTTGCGAACGAGAATTTTGGTTTGCAGTTCATCAGTTGAAAACAAATGGACGCAGGTGTTCAGAAACTCTTGAAATCATCAATATCTTTTCACCAATTTTCTTCTTCTTCGGGTCTTGAATAGCCTGGATATGACAGCTTTGGCGATGTATTTCAAGTTTTTTTTTTTTTTTTTTTTTTTTTTTTTTTTTTTTTTTATAAAAAATCATTAAGAAAGTGGCACCATGGTTTGACAAATGAAGGACTTACAAAATTGGTCAAGCACAACAACAACAACTAATAATGTTAAGATCCTCTAACATTATCCATTTGACCTTTAATTTGATACAAATTGGAAAGCTACAATTCTGACCCAAAGAGCCATTATTTGCTTTCCTGATAGGTTACAAGGGAGGTGAGGAGCAACTTCCCTGTAGTGCTTTAACAATGGCATGCAATTAAATTACTTGCAAACTTTTGTAGAAAGGGAACTGATTTGTGGGCAAGGAAGTAACAACAGCTTTTATTAATAATCTTGTGCAATCAATATCCATGTAAAATTCGGCACGTACAATTTCATGAGGAGGTAAAGTTGAGGGATGAAACACCAAAAATAAAACAATTCCTCTTTTTTCATTGAAGCGTTCATTTACAAAATCTAAGGACTCATAATTTTTTCCTTTCCTTCTTTTCTGAGAATTAACTTTTCACTTCTTTTAAAATGTCAACTTTGAATCCAAACTCGAAAATTTTCAAATGAATGCTTCAATTTATGATTGAATTACAGCGTAAAAAAAGTAGACATTTTGTGAAAGTAGAGTGTTGATATCTTTGGCTAAACTTGGCACATTTTGCCTGCGACAAATGTGTGACTATGTTGAATAAGTA